TTGAATGCTATAGATGGTAATTTTTCTACTCCTCTGCATGACCTTGATAAATACATATTTACACCTAATAAAGAACTAGTAATTGAAATTCACAAATTTTTCTATCAAGTACAAAATAACTACATTTAAATATATACACCTACATCCAACTTGATAAATGGTTATTTAAAAAAAATACATTTATATAGGATATAAATGAATAATTATGCAGAGCACTGCCATATTATTATAATACTTTAATTCACTATTTTGACTTATCTGTTTTGGCCCTTGCACACTTACCGATCACTTTTTACTCTATTCTCTTGAATTGAATTTTTTTCCAACTTAGTCTATCCTACTTAAATTGCTTGGCATGATTATTTGGGATCTTTGTGTGCATCGAACCTATAACTCTCGACTATGACTGAACACCACCACCAAGTGCATCCTAGTTACATCATGCAGTCCATAACATCTGCTTTATAACTTCTTCATTGTACAATACAATGTTAAGACTGTTTAAACGACTGCATTTATTTTCGTCTCATTGCCGTTCTTGTCAAGGATACCTCAAGAACCAAGCAATCATGGACGCGAGGACGGATGCTCTATAAGGGATGGTGGTCCCTCTCTACTCTACAACACTTGAAAAATCAATATTCCTTTCAATCAGTCCAGATTGTTAAAAAAAATTTTTTGCAATTGTTTAAACAAATTTAAAAAAAAATTTTTTTAATTTTTTTTATGAAAATATAAGTAATTTTAAGACAAAAATTACTCTTGGTTGTCTAAGTGTCAAGAATATATCCCCTAAATCTTAAATTGAATGCCTAAACCATTTACAAAAAATTCGACTTAATTCCTCGAAGATGATCGCCAAGTATACCCGTCATCGGCAACCTGGTTGTGCAAGTCAAAAAATAACTATGGATTATTGTAGAGTTTAGAATAATTTATTATTGTATCAGTTCTGAACTTGCATACAAAATTTCAGACCTCTAGGACATCCGGAAGTCTTTTAAATTAATTTTGAAAATTCCATAATTTGACTTTTGCAAAATAAATTGTTTATAACAATTACAGGGTTGTTTGAACAATTATTTAACCATGAAAATCGGATTCAGCATAAAAAAATACATAAAGAACTCATCATGTTAATTTAAAATGTAAAATGTTTCAAGAAATCTAATTTATTTGGATAGAAAACTTCCCTGGTTATAAAACCGGACAGATTTCGGACTAATCCGAAATTTGTCCGAAACAATGCGGTTTATGGTCAGGTTTCTGTCACCCGAAATTAATCCGGAAAAATCCGAATTCTATACGGTTTGTGAACAACTAGTGAATCCGGAGTTGGTCCGATGAAGTCCGAAATTAATATCAGTTAATTTTAACTAGTGAATCCGGAATTAGCCCGAAGCAATCAAAAATTAGTCCGGACAATTTAGTGAATGTTAATAAAAAAATAATTATGCAAGTTACACATATTAATTATTATTACTTTATGGTACATTCAACATATTTTTCGATTTACCTATCGCAATTTTATTTACCTTAACTTAAAATTTCTAACGCTTGGGGATTCGAACCTACACCTATCTAACATTATAACGCACCGAAGTCGAATACACTAACCACTATACCACGCTCGCATGGAAGTTCAAATTCATAATAGAATTTATGAAGTGCCACGAAAAGAAATGACAAGAAACTAACACATAATCAGTGTTAATTTTAATATTGAAACAAGATAATTAATAATACTAGTAAATTTGTAAAAACAAATTATGACTGCAGAATTAAATATTTTATTTACCATAAGTAAATACCCTGAATAAAAAGTAGGACCGATTTCGGACTAATCCGGAATTTATCCGCAACAGTACGGTTTATTGTGGAGTTTTTTCACCATGAATTAAGTTTGAAATCAATACCGTTTTTTATCACTATTGAATCCGCAATTAATCCGGTTTAGTCTGCAGTTAGTCAGATCATATGCGACTAGTAAATGCAGAAGTAATCCGGTTGGTTTAACCAGTAAATCCGCAGCTAATCCGAAACAGTCTGCTTATATACAGGTTTTTGTTCTATAATCATTCCGGATTAAGTCTTTGAATTGGATTGCATATGGATTGTTTTGGACTGTCTGTGGATTGTATATATTTACAAAGTCTTATAATAATAAGACTTCTTTTCGGACTGGGGTGTTTTGATCGGATATTATTCGGATTGACGCTGACTATTATAGAATTCTTTGCATACAGATTTTGGATTGTTCCAAACTTGTTTCGGATTAAATCTTTTAACTGGTTTAAATTTGGATTATTGCGGACTGATTTCGTATTCTTTACATATTGATTTCGGATTATTTCGTATTTATTTTAGATGAGTTTTTTGACGAACATAATTTCGGATTGTTGCGTAATAATTAAGGACTTAATTTAGACACTTAAGATTAACCCAGACTGATTTAGGACCGTCTATTACTGGATTCTTAGCATACATATTTAGGATTGTTTCGTATTTGTTTCGGAATATGATTTTACCACACTAATTCCGAATTGAAGCGGACTAATGTCGGATTCTTTGTGTACAGATTTCGGATTATTTCGTATTTGTTTCGGATTATACCTTTTAGATGGATTAAATCCGGATTGTTGCAGACAATTTTCGGATTTTTAGCATACAGATTTCGGATTGTTTCGTACTTCTTTTGGAATAGGACTTTGCCACATTTAATTTCAAATTGTTGCGGACTAATACCGGATTTCTAGCTTACAGAGTTCGGATTGCTCCGGACATTTTGCGGATTAAGTTTTTTTAACTAGATTAAACTCGGATTGTTGCGGACTGATTCCGTATTCTTTACATATTGATATCGGATAATTCCGTACTTATTTTAGAAGAATTCTTCACCGGTCATAAATTTGAATTGTTGCGGACTGATTACGGACTGAATTTGTAGACATTCAGGATTACTCCGGAGTGTTTTCGGATTCAGGTTTTCGTTCGGATTGATATCAGACTAGCGCGGATCATTTTCGGACCTTTTTCGTATAATTTTCGGAATAATCCGTACTAATCTGTCTGTAATTAATCCGAAATTTTTACCAGGGTTTAAACGCGTTTTTCTCGAAAAGTTGATTTTGGTAAGTACCTTTTCTCAGTCCCGGTCACAAATATGAAACAGAATGAAAATCTCTAATAAATTGTTTAAAAAATCAGTTTTTCTTGAGCGTCATGGTCTGGCTTTCTTGTCATGGTACGGCTTTTCTGTATTGAACAGCGTGTAACAACAGAGTGAAGCAATAATTGTGACGCGTCGCGAAGAAAAGCACCTAAGAAGCAAAAAATCGATTGTCGGATTATGATTGTTTCAGATAAATTAAAGATTACTTTTTAATTATCTGAACTCAAAATTAATTTTTATCAAATACTTATCTGAAATACTTTCGTAATAATGATTTACAAAACAGAAATTCTTGCTAAGAGTTGATTTTCTCTTTCCTTTTCTCCTCCTCCTGTAAAATTTTCGATATGCTTCTTAGGTGCTTTTCTTCGCGACGCGTCACAATTGTTAAACAATTGTAATTTGCAAAATAACATACAGATAATTATTATTTCATTTGCCTGTAAATATAACAGGTGCTTTCATTTTACCATGACTGGATGGTATAGCCGCAAAGTATATACAGATATATATAAAAATTATTTGTCTAAAAAATAGAAAAATTATAAATATTTTGTCCGGCCCACTCTTTAGATAAAAAATCTTAAGGTTTTGAATTTGTCCGCCCACTCGATTTTGAAACAGAAACAACTTTTGCAGCAGACAGACAAAGTGGTCCCTTAGATCATGTGGACGTCCACATATGTTGATATGAATGATATCGTTGATATGATGATCATCGCAAAGGCAGAATAGTCTCTTATCTCCATCCCCCACAGCACCGAAACTTTCTTAAAAATTTATTAAATATTTACTTGCAATATTCGTCATATTTAACTGAAAAGTTTAGTGAAAATTGTGTAAAGATTTAAATGTCCCGATTAAATAAATGTTTAGCTCGAAGCTTTCCTGAACATTTTCTGAACATGAAATTACATCTTCGCATAATTATAATTATAATTATGCGAAGATTTTATTGAAATGTTCAGGAAAGCTTCGCGCTAAACATTTATTTAATCGGGACATTTAAATCTGTACACAACTTTCAATAAACATTGCAATTAAATATTCCGAATATTGCAAGTAAATATTTAATAAATTTTTAGGAAAGTTTCGGTGCTGTGGGGGATTTCTACCTCTAGTGACACGAGTTCCTTTTGAACTAACCCAATGGGAAGATGGATTTTTACCATAGTTTTTGTAAGTTTCATAATTCTTTTTCAATTATTAATATATTTAGAAAACTCGCTTTCAACGATTCACCAACTTGAGTTTCCTATTTTTATATTCAAAACAGTAGTTTTGAAATATAAATCCATAATTATTATATTATGTTTTCCGATATTGAGAGAACTCACTCAGTATAATATATTTAAATAGTAATCTTTACAAAAATACCGTTATATCCTCGTTTGCTATTCGCTTTTTGTAAAATTCAGTATTATAATATCGAATTTTCCAAACTAAAGTTTCTCCGTGTAAGCACATTTGTTTGTTCTTACAGTATGTCAATTACTTAATGTTTTTTCAAGTATTTAACATATCATGAAATATCAACGAATTTGTACAAGATTTTTTTAAACGGATATTCATTTATGACCTATAAAAAGAAACGAATTATAGTTTTAAACTAAAATTGTAGCTTCAATTTTCTTAAGATATATATTTTGTATTACTTATATTTATGTAAAACTGCAAAAAGAAATTTTTCTTCTGACTAAACCAAATTACTTGACCTTGGATTTAAGATTATCTCTGGCATTTGAAAAATATTGTATATTACAATAAAAAAATATATTTTAAAAAATCCCAGTCGTTTTATCTGAACGAGGTTTAATAAAATACGTTAGTATATCTTGCGACGCAGTCGCAAATATAACTCTGATGCTCAATACTTTTAAAAAAAAGTGTTATACAGTGCTACCACTGAATCAGTCAGCGTTTATTTTCCGAGAGTAAAGGACAACTAAAAGATCAGCACAAAAAGAAATTTAATCTAATTTGTATACACGAATCGCGATTAATTAAAATTTCGAATTAACCTTCAAATTTTAATTCAGGATTAATTAATTAAATTAAGATGGAATTTTTGGAGCCAAACAGACCCATTCGGTGCACATGGACCCCGAACGCTTCAGACACACCTCATTCTTACTTCCGAAAGTAAGTATAATACAAAGAATTCTCTTAGATAAAGAATGCAACAATCATTATTATTATTATTACTACCAAATGTTACGCGAGCGGAACGTGATATTCAATTTTTTATTATTATTATTATGCAAGCATAAATTTTCAAAACAATTCAATTATTTTTATAAGTATACTTATTTTTATAAGTATATTAAAATTCATCACATGAATTAAATTATTTTTTATAAATAAATAATAAAATTCTTCTTAGGAATTTAATTATTTTCAATACAAAGAAACTCTAATATAATTGTTTAAAATAATTCAATATTATATCAATAAATTTAATAAAATTTGAATAGTAAAATTATTCATTACAATTATTAACAAAATCGATTAAATTTAAAAAATTAAAGAAATTTTTTGAAAGAATTCAATCATTCTCAAAACTTTTAATAGTGTATTAATTCTTCGAAAGAATATAATTTCTTTCTATACTTTAATAAAATTCTGAAAAGAATTTAGTTATTTTCTAAAAAGTAAAAAAAAAGATTTAATAAATAAATGTTTGATTTCAATTATTAAGAAACATGATTATTTTAAAACCTTGAAAGAAATTTTTCATTAAATTCAATTATTTTAAAAATTTTTAAATAAAATTATCAAAGAAACCCCATTATTTTAAAAAAATTAAAAAAAATTCTTCATAAGAATTTATTTAGGATTTTCAAAAATTTGAATAAAATTCTTTGTAGGAATTCAATTATGTATTCTAAAATTTTTTTATAAATACATACTTTGCAAGAATTGAATAATTTTCAATACATTAATTTTAAAATTCAAAATATTTAAAAAGTAAACAACAACTAACTTTAAACTTTTTCTGTATTTATAAAAAATTGATTAAGGATAACTTTATATAAAAATCCGCTTTGTCAATCTTATGTTTCTTATGAAAAAAAATTTCTATAAATAGATGAATTTCAAAAGATTTTGATTTTAAATTTTATAAAATTTCAATTTTTAATGGATTTAATTAGAAATTTTAATGAACTTATAGATTTTTAAAAAATTTTAATAATTCTAATTGTTATATATATTTCCACTGGAATTAAAATTTTTAATAATTTCAATGAAAAATCTAATCAAATCTATTATTGAATTATTTCTAAAAATTGCAACTGTAATTCTTCCAAAATTTAAATCAATTCTTATATAAGAATTTAATTATTTAAATACAAAAATAAATAATTTATGGAATAATTAATTATTTTAAAAAATCACAACTGTACCGCTCTTTATTGAGTTTTTGAAATTGGGGCTAAATTTCCTTACTTCACTTATTTTATTATTTACGAATTAACTGTCAAACTTCTGACATAACAATTCGAATTCGCAAAGAATTTTATTAAAAATTTTAAAAATTCTAATTAAATTCTTTTCAGGAATTTCTTTGAATTTTTTTAAAATAATAGAGTTTCTTTAATACCTAATTTGAATTGAAAATTTTGAAAGAAACTGAATTTTATAAAGAATAATTTTATTAACATTGTATTGAAAATAATTGAATTTCTTAGAAAAATTTTATTATTTATGAAAAATAATTTAATTCTTGCGAAGAATTTTACTATTTATAAAAATAATTCAATTAACTTTTAAAATAAATTTTAAGTAAATATTTGAAAATAATTAAATTCTTTCGTGAAATTTTATTAAAGTTGTTTTGTAAATAATTAAATTTCTGTAAAGAATTTGATTAAAATTAAATATATTCAAAATAATTAAATTCATCAGAAAAATTTTATTATTTATGAAAACAATTAAATTATTGCGAAGAATTTTACTATTTGTAAAAATAATTGAAATGTTTCGAAGAATTTATTAAGATTTTAGTAAATGTGAAATAATTTTAAAATAAAAAATTTTGTAATTTGCATAAAAATAAAAAAAGGATGCATGCGCCTGCGAAGGTCAGATGTATCAGTACACGAATCATCCAATCATATATGTATCATTTAAAGAGAATGAAAAAATGTTAGGCAATTTATATTGCACCTTTGTAGATTTATAGCTAAATATAAATTATGTTAGTAAAGTGATATATTATAGAAGGGAATTATATATAGTTTCCTCCTCTGATTCTCTTGAAAAATAATGTGCGAATTTCGATTTTTAGACCTCGAATCAGAAAATTTTTTTTTGATTTAAATCGAATCAAAGAATTAGAAATTGTATTCAGTTCAATAAATAGAATTATCATTAATTTGAATTAATTAAATGTCTAGAACAATAACTATAAAAAATAAGCAATAATTATATTACACTCATAGAAAAATTTTATTCAATTCAAATATAATTCATTTGAATTATAAGCAAAGTACCTATATTTTTTTCAAAGTCTACAAATATCGCTCAATTCTAAACCTTTTCAATTCCAGGGTTGGCACAAAAATTTAATTTTGTTTTTCCCTGAAAGAAAAATTTTCAAAACCTTCAAATTATTAAACCTATTAAAATTTAATAATTTTTAAGAATTCATGATTTGTAATAATTTAAAATTCCATAAAATTTTTTTCGAAAAAAATTAAATTATTTCCAAAAATTTTTTAAAAATCCTTCGCAAGAATTCAAATATTTTGACAATTAATATAATTTTTCACATCAATTCAATTATTTTCATAAATAATAAATAAATTATTTATTTAATTATTTTCAAAAATTTTGTACAAAAATTCAATTACATTTTTCATAAATAATGAAATTCTTAGAAAGACAGAAATTAACAATTATCAATTATTTTTAACAATTTTTGCAAAAATTCCTAGAAAATTTTCAAAATCATTTGTGTACAATTCATCAATGTGACGAAATTTTAATTATTCGAAAATTTTTCTATTGAATATTTAGAAAATAAAAAATTAAAAAAAATTCACAAAAAAAGTTGAATAAAACTTTTTCAAAATCTATCATTTTAACTGAAATTCATTTTTAAAACAATTTTTAATAGAAAAATAATTTATTGAATAAATGAATGTCTCTCAAAATTAAATTCTCATAAATAATTCGGGTAAAATTGTATTAAAAATAATTAAAATTCTATTCTGAGTTTTATTATTCATGAAAATTATTTAATCTCTATAAAAAATTTTATTATTTCTGAAAATAATTAAAATAATGAAATTATTGCGAAGAAAATTATAAAAAATTTGTAAATAATTGAATTCTTGTGAAATTTTATGTATTATTTTATAAAAATAAAATAAAGAGGCCCGTATGCTTCTTAAATAAATAAATAAAATAATTACATGTTTGCGTAGAATTTTATCAAAAATTTTTTTAAATAATTGAATTCTTACCCGAAGAACTTTATTAATTTTTTTTTAAATAATTAAATTCTAGCGCTGAATTTTATAAAAATCTTTTTAAATAATTAAATTCTTTTGAGGAATTTTCAATACAATTTTTAAGAATAAATACAAATATTAAAATTGCATTAAAAATAATTGTATTCTTAAAAAGAATTTAAATATTTATGAAAATAATTGAATTATTGCGAAGAAATTTATAAAAAAATTTAATTGTATTCCTGTAAAATTTTAATTATTTATTAAAATGATTAATAGTTTGCGTAGAATTTAATTAAATTTTTTTTAAATATTTGAATTATTTTGGAAAATTTTATTGAAATAGTAGATAATGAAAACTGAAAAAAAAATTTTGAAAATAATTAAAATTTTGCTATAAATTTTACGAAAATTTTTGAAAATAATTGAATTTTGGAAAAGAATTTTATTATTTATGAAGGTAATTGAAATTTTGACGAGAATTGAAAAAAGATTTTGAACATAATTGAATTTCTGAGAAGAATTTTATTACTTTTAAAAATAATTGAATTTCTGTAATCATTTGTAATTTCTCTAAAATTCAATTTTTTTGTATTTTCAATTAAAATTCTTCCATAAATCCATGATTTTTAATAATTAATTAAATTTATATTAAAAAGTTAAATAAAAATATGTTCAGAAGAATTTGGTTTATTATAATATTTCAAAAATCTAAGTTCTTTTAATTCTAATTAGATTCATTAAAAATTGAAATTTTCTGAAATCTTGAATTAAAACCTTTTGAAGTTAATTTATTTATGAAAATTGTAAACGCAAATCTTTTAAAATTGAATTAATTTAAAAATATTTAAATATAATTATTCATTAAATAATTTCTAAGTAATTATTTTGTAATAGTTCTTTCAAGAATTAAGTTATTTATAAAGAAATTATTGTCAAAAATATAATAATTGAAGAGTTTGTATTAGAATTCATGGTAATGCCATAGTTTATGAGTCAAACAAAAAAGAAACCAAAATTCATAACTTTCTCATAAATTATAAAAATTTAATTTTTTCCAGTATGACTTTTCCCTAAATTCCCTGATCTGTTTCAGCCAAATGGATAAAAAGAAAATATTACCAAATGTTTTGGAAGCAATGGGAGATACTCCAATGATTCGTTTGAACAAAATTCCCAAATTACATGGAATTGAATGCGAAATGCGTAAATAACTCTGTGATAATTTAAACTAATAAAATTTAATTAAAAAATTATTAAAAATTAAAAAATTTTAAAAAAAAAAATTTTTAATTTTAATTTTTTTAATTTTAAAAAAAAATTTTAATTGAAATTATTTCAAGACTGCTTAATATATAATTGAAAAAAATTATTAATTTTTAGTGGTAAAATGTGAATTCCTGAATCCTGGGGGTTCAGTGAAAGACAGAATCGCTTTCAGAATTGTTAAAGAAGCTGAGGAAAAAGGCTTGATAAAGCCAGGGTACACCTTAATTGAAGCATCGAGTGGAAATACAGGAATTGCAGCAGCGATGGTAGCTTCTGTAAAAGGGTACAAGTGCATTATTATAATGCCGAGTTTTATATCAACCGAGAAGCAAGCGATAATTGAAGCTCTAGGAGGTCAAGTCTTAAGATGTCCAATGACAGCTGCATGGGATGGTCCAGAGGGAGTTTTCGCCGTTGCCGAAAGACTGAATAAGGAGATTCCAACTAGTTTTATACTCAATCAGGTAAAATGTTACAAAAAATCAAAATTAAATTCTATTAAAGTCAAAAAAACTTAAAATGAAAATTCTATAAAATTGAAGGAAAATTCAGGGAAAGTAGAATTGGTCAGGGAAAAATCAGAGATTATTTATTAAAAGTACTGGAAAAAATTAAATTTTTAAAATCCAAATCCAAGAAAATTCTAAATTCTTATGCCTTTTTTGTTTGCCCAAAATAAAATATGCAAAATTATCACGAATTTTAATAAAAAAACCTTCAATTTTCTATATCTATTTCTGACTTTAATTTCTTTTTAAATAACTTACTTCTTGAAAAACTATCATAAAATTATTATACTTAGAAATTATTTTATGAATAATTTTACTTAAATATTTCAAAATTAATTGAATTTTAAAAAAGTTGCGTTTACAATTTTTATAAATAGATCAACTTCAGAAATTTTTAATTTGAAATTTTAGAAAATTTCAATTTTAAATTAATTTAATTAGAATTTTAAAGAACTTAAAGAATTTTTGAAAAATTTTAATAAATCAAATTCTTCTGAAATTAGTTAAATTTTTGAAAATATATTTAATTAATTATTACAAATAATGGATTTACTGAAGAATTTTAGTTTAAAACACTAAAAAAAATTGAATTTTGGAGAAGTTACAAATGATTACAGAAATTCAATTATTTTCAAATGTAATAAAATTTAAAAATGAATTTTGGTTAAAATTTTAAATAATAATTGAATATTAAAAGCATTATAGCGTGATTTTTTTATAAGTAATTGAATTTTGAAAATGTTTCAGATTCAAATCTTTGAAAATCTGAATATTTTATACTTTGAACTATCAATTCTGTACAATTAATTATGTTTTATGGAAAAGCTTAATTGAATTTTTTTATATATATTATGAATCTTTTATTAAATATTTTGATATTATTTCAAAAATTTTAACACATTTCTTCAAAAGAATTTAATTGTCTTGATAAATATCAAAATTGTTCCTAGAAATTCAATTATTTTCAGGTATTTTAATAAAATTCTTGGTAAAATTCAATTATTTTCGAAAGTAATAAAATTCTTCTCGCAAAAATCTAAATATTATCAAAAAAAATTTTTTTTTAAATCTAAGATTTCAATTATCTGAAAATGCAAAATTCTTCGCCAAAATTCAATTATTTCCAAAAATTTCCTCAATTCAATGATTTGCAATAAATACTATTTTAATAAAATTTCCCAAATTTACTGCTGGAATTAATAAATTATTTAAAATAGAATTTAGATAAATTTTTTCAAAAGAAATTGAATTCTAGTTAAAAATTTACATAATAATTGAATATTGAAAGCATTATTGCATTTAATTTTTAGAAATAAATGAATTTTGAAAAGGTTTAAGGGGAATTTTAATAAAACTCTTATTCGTGGAAATTCAATTATTTTCAAAAATTTTAATAACATTCTTGATAAAATTTCAATTATTTTAAAAAGTTTTCCTCAGTTTAATGATTTTTAATGTCTATTATATACAAACATTTAATTATTTTCATAAATAATAAAAATTTCACAGTAATTCAATTATTTACAAATTTTTTATAAATTTCATCTTAATAATTATATTATTTTCATAAATAATCAAACTCATCGCAGAATTTTAATTATTTTTAGTACAATTTTAATTAAATACTTCGAAAAATGTAATTATTTTTAAAAATGTTATTAATATTCGTCGAAAGAATTCAATTATTTAAAAATTTGTTGATAAAATTCTTTATAGGAATTGAATTTGAAGAAACTGTAAGGGTGGAATTTGCAACATAGAATTTTACCAAAGAAAAATAAAACGTCACAAATTTACATCTCGACCCGTTACTCCGAAACTAACTTCACCACAACAAAATCTTCACAAATCTCATCGGGGAGTTCCTCTTCTCCAAGCTGCGATGTAAAAACAACTTTGTCAATGGACCATTCCTTTTTACACAAATGACCGTTGAGACGCTACCAAATTATAACGACTTTGGCACTCTCAACCGTTTACAGCACAAACAAAAAAAAAGAAATAAAACACTAAAAACTCTTAATTCATAAAAATAAAACCCATTTATTAATTAAACCAAATAAACTCTAAATTAAATAACAAAATATAAAATAAAATATCTTTAACAAAAATCTTGATAATTGACACTAGTCAAAAACCACGTCGCGACTACTTGAACCTCTGCAAGTAAGTGACAAGCAAGTGTAAATCCGATCTCCTCATCACCGGTTGGCTTCCTCATCATATTTTGCTTCTTCCTTTTTCCTATGGAAAATTGGGAAAAACCCTTCTTTCTTATCCCCACTGTACAGCACCTAAAATGGTCTTGGAAAGGGTCATTGGTCATGTGACGGTCTCTGGCAATTAATCATGCGCGAAATCATTTAAATTCAGATTTCACGAATGACACAGGTCTCGGGTCGCTGAACCAAGGACACACACAAGGGACTTGACAAGAAAACAAGACAAAACTATGATAAGAGAGAGAACGACGAACAACTTACTATAATGAAATTTACTTTTCCTACACACGACAGATTTGGAGAAATAAGTAACGATTCACCTCGTTACAAAACATTCAATTATTCAATAAATTATTTATTTTTTAATTTAAATAATTGAATTCTTCTAGAATTTTCTAATAAAAATTGATTTAAAAAATGAATTTCAGTTAAAAGTTTAGATTATAATAATTGAATATTAAAATCATTAGCATTAATTTTTAGAAAGAATTGAATTTTGAAAATGTTTTAGATAAAAATCTTTGAAAATTTGAATTTTTCGTACTTTTAACTAACAATATTCCGTAGAATTAATTTTTTTAAAAAAGTTTAATTGAATTTTTTTGAAATTTCAAGTTTTTATTTTCTAATATTACGTTGATTTAGGGAAGAATTTTAGTTAAAAATTGTAGAAAATTATAATTGAATTAAAATTATGAAAATAATTTTGAGGAAATTACAGTAACAATATTCTCTATTCTTATAATACCTATAAAATTATGATTTTATCACTCGGTTATCTTTAATTATTGTAAAATATGAAGAAATAGATATGAAGAGATCGATATCTTCATGTTTTATAATAATATTCTTATAAGTTGTTAAATTTAAAAAAGGTTTAAAATCGAAATTTTTTAATATCTTAATTGCTGTGGAAAAATAATAATAATGATAAAATATTTATTTAAAAATGCAGTTTTTGTTGTTTTCGAATAATTTTACAATTAGAGAAATTTCTAAATAAATGTAATAGAACATTTTTTTAAATATCTAATCATTTTTAGAGAGAATCCAGGGCTCGGATCGTCTTTAAGACGCAAGAAAAGTCGCTTTAGTCGCATAAATTTACAACAAAAGTCACGAAAAGTCACATAAAATTTCCGAAAAAGTCAAAAAAAAAGTCGCATTAAATCTTTAGAAAAAAACGACAGAAAGAAAACGCAAAATTGTAAAAAAAAATCACATTTCTTGACAACAGATACATTAATATCAAACAATCCGGAATAAAACTTTAAAAAATTTAATAAAATTCATAGCAAAATCTAATTAGGTATTTTTAACATTTTTTTTTTAAACTCTCTTTAAAATGTCAATTATTGTTATAAATAATAAAATTCTTCTCCGAAATTCAATTATTTAAAAAAAATTTTAATAAAATTCTTCTCTGAAATTCAATTATTTTCAAAAGTACGAAAATTCTTTAAAGAAATTCAATTATATTCAAAATTTTTTTTTAATTTTTCGTCAAAATTTTATAAATAATAAAATTCATCATAAAAATTTAATCATTTTCAAAAGTTCTGATAAAATTCTTTGCAAAATTCAATTATCTTCAAAAGTACGAAAATTCTTTAAAGAAATTCAATTATGTTTATAAATATCAAAATTCTTATGCAAAATTCAATTACTTTAAAAAAAATCTGTTAAAAATTTCAATTATCTTTGTGAATAACAAAATTCTTCTCTAAAATTCAATTATTTGCAAAGAATTTAAATAAAATTCTTGTCAAAATTTCAAGTATCTTTATAAATAATAAAATTCATTCTAGAAATTCAATTATTTTCAAAGGTAATAAAATTCATTCTAGAAATTCAATTATTTTCAAAATTTCCTTTAAATTTCTCGTCAAAATTATCATTATCTTCATAAATAATAAAATTCATCCTGGAAATTTAATTATTTTCAAAAGTTCAGCCAAAATTCTTTGCAAAATTCAATTATCTTCAGAAGTAAGAAAATTCTTGGCAGAAATTAAATTAATTTCAAAATTTTTTTTAAAATTCTTCTCAAAATTTCAATTATGTTTATAAATATCAAAATTCTTCTGCTATAATTCAATTAATTTTAAACATTTTTAAAAAAATCTGTTCAAAATTTCAATTATCTTTGAGAGTAATAAAATTCTTCTCTGAAATTCAATTATTTGCAAAAATTTTAATAAAATTCTTTGTCAAAATTTAAATTATCTTTATATTTAATAAAATTCATCCTAGAAATTCAATTATTTTTAATTTTTTTTTTTTAATTTCTCGTCAAAATTTTAATTATCTTCATAAATAATAACAATTTTTTTAAATTCTCCTCAAAATTTCAATTATCTTTGTAAATATCAAAATTCTTCTGCAAAATTCAATTACTTACTAATGTTTTATAAATTTCTTCCCAATAATTCAATTATTTTCATAAAAAATAATAAAAAAATTTTTTTTATAAAAGTCTTATAATATAAAATAATGATTTTAGCACTCGATCCTCTTTAATTATTATAAAACAGGAAGACATCGATTGCTCCGAGTCGAAGACTCGGAGTGATCGAGTTCTTCATGTTTTATAACAATTTTTCATAAGTTGTTTAATTTCAAAAAGGTTTGAATTTGAATCTTTTGAAAAATTTTAATTCCTATGGAAAAATAATAATTAAATATTTATTTAAAAAAGAAGTTATTGATGTTTTCGAAAAATTTAAAAGAAATTTGTAAATAAATGTAACAGAACATTTTTTTGACTCAAACTTTTTCCTTTAAATTTAAAAAAAAAATTTTAATTTCAGTCGCATTTTACTAAAAAAAATTTTGAAAAAGTCGATTAGTTGCATTTTTTCACAAAAAAGTCGAAAAAAGTCACATTTCCTGAGAAAAGTCGAAAAAAGTCGAAATAGTCGCACAATCCGAGCCTTGAGAATCAAAATTTTCTTTAGAGTCAGGGAAGAAGTGAAAATTTTTTCTGGAAATGAGGGAAAAGTTAGGGAAAAATAAAATAATTTTTATGATCATAGTTTACAAACACTGGGAACGCTTTGGCTCATTATGATACGACAGGAATGGAAATTTTTGAGCAAACAGAAGGAAAAATTGACTATCTTGTCGCTGGATCTGGAACTGGAGGAACTCTCACAGGTATTGCTCGAAAACTCAAAGAATTATCTCCAGAGACGAAAATTGTTGGAGTCGATCCGGAGGGCAGTGTGGTTGCAGAACCTCCAGAATTAAACGATCCAACAATTACCTGGGAAATGGAAGGAATCGGGTAAATAATTTTTTTTTTAAATTAAAGAAAAAAAGTTTTAATTTCTCATTTAGCAAGAGAAAATTATCTCTGGTCTTTATATGAAAATAACAGGCCTCGGATCGACTTTAAGCTTATGACGCAAAAAAAAGTAATTTTATTTTCTATTTCTTTTTCCTGATTTCCAGAAAAGTTATTAAATTTTCTAAAAGTTTCCGATACAATCTAATATAAATGAAATTTCTTGTAATTGATTAAAAAATCTAAAAATTAAAAAAAAATTCTAAAAATTGTATTAATTTTATTTTTTTGCAATATAGATACTATTTTGTACCGACGAGTCTGGACAGAAGAATAATTGATTTTTGGATAAAGAGTAACGATCGTGATTCGTTCTTAACAGCTCGAAGTCTCATTCATGACGAGGGTTTACTTGTCGGTGGAAGTAGTGGAGCAATTATGTCATCAGCAATTAAAGTGGCAAAAAAATTACCGAAAGATAAGCGTGTCGTGGTTTTATTACCAGACGGAATTCGAAATTACTTGACAAAATTTGTCTCTGACGATTGGATGGAGTATCATGGATTCATAGTGAGTTGAAAACATTTTTTTCCTCTATGAATAAAACTAGAAATAAACGAAAAAAAACTCAGGGTTGACAAAAAAATTTAATTTTCTTTTTCCCTGACTTTTCCCTGATTTCCAGAAAAAATTTTCACTTTTTCCAGTGAAGAATTTTATTTTTTAGGAAAATAATTGAAATCCTGTGAAGAATATTATTATTTATGAAAGTAATTGAATTCATGCAAAGAATTTAATTATATTTCTTTTAAATAATTGAATTCCTCCGAGGAATTTTATTATTTTGGAAAATAATTGAATTCTTGCAACGAATTTTATTACATATTTTAAAAAATTTGAATTCTTTTGAGAAATTTTATTAAAATAGTAGATTTTGAAAATATTTGAATTTCAGCAAAGAATTTCATTTTTTGTGAAATGTAATTGAATTTTGGCAAAAAATTTTTGAAAATAATTACATTTTTCGAGGAATTTATTTCAAATTGTGTTAAAAATAATTGAAAACCTTTGAAAAATTGTATTATTTATGAAAATAATTGAATTCTTACAACGAATTTTATTACATTTTTTTAAATAATTGAATTCATGTGAAAAATTGCATTACTTGTAAAAATATTTAAATTCTTGTAAAGGATTTTTTTTTTAATTTTTGTAAATTATTTAATTTTTTTTTTTTTTGAAAATTTTATAGATATATATAAATTATTATAAAACATAAAAATATCAATTATAACTCCGAGTCTTCGAATCGGATCGATTTCTTCATGTTTTATAATAAATACAAGATGACAGAATGCTTTTAATATTCAATTATAATTTTAAATTTTAAGTTAAATTCATTTTTTAATCAATTTTTATTAGAAAATTCTAGAAGAATTCAATTAATTAAATACAAAAACAAATAATTTATTGAATAATTAAATATTTCTTAAAATTGAATTTTTATGAAGAAATTTATTAAAATTTTTAAAAATAATTGAATTCTTTCGGAGAATTTAAAAAAAAAATTTAAGAATAATTGCAACTTTCTATCATTTTATTTAAAATTGTATAATAAATAATTGAAATTCTGCGATAAGTTTTGTTATTTATAAAAATAATTTAATTCTTGCAAGGAATTGTATTAAAAATTTGTTTAAAGAATTGAATTCATGTGAAGAATTCTATTTCTGAAAATAATTGAATTCCGGAGAAAAATATTATTTATGAAAATAATTAATTTCTTGTAAAGAATTTAATTCAATTTGTTTTAAATAACTAAATTTCTCAGAATTTTTAAAGATTTCTTGAAAATAATTAGATTCCATCGAGAAATTTCATTAAAAAATTAAAAATAATTTAAATCTGACGAAGAATTTTATTAAATTTTTTTTTAATAATTGAATTCCTGTGAAAAATTTTCTTTTTAAAAAGAATTGAATTCTCGAGAAGAATTTTATTAAAATATCTTAAATAATTGAATTGCTTGGAAGAATTTTATTTTTGACGAAAATAATTGAATTATTTCGAAGATTTTTACTAACATTTTTGACAATAATTGTATATTTTACGAAAATAATAAAATTGAATTTTATGATCAATTTTATTATAATCTTTCAAATTTATAAAGCAGTTTATCAAAATTTTTTTAAATAATTGAATTCCCATAAAATTATGTATTATTTGTCAAAATAATTGAATTCTTAAGAAGAATTGTATTGAAAATAATTGAATTTTATAGAAAAATTTTATTATCTACATCTTGTAAAGAATTTCGTCAACATTTTTTTAAATAATAGAATTTTTAAAAGAATTTTATTAAAATTTTTTGAAATAATTGAATTTCGAAGAATTTTATTATTTATAAAGATAATTAAAATTTTAAAGGGGATTTTTAAAAATTTTTGAACATAATTGAATTTTTGCGAAGAAGTTTATCACGTTTGAAAATACCTAAATGAATTTCGGTAATCAGTTGTTTTTTAAATTTCTATTTAAATTCATTAAAAATTGCTATTTTCTAAAATTTTAAATTGAAACCTTTGAAGTTCATCTATTTATGAGGATTGTAAACGCAACTCTTTTGGAATCCAATAATTAATTTTGAAATTTTTAAGTAAAATTATTCACTAAATAATTTCTAAATACAATAATAATTTTATGATAGTTCTTGAAGAATTAAGTTATTTAAAAAAAATTATTGTTAGAAATTGAAAAAATTGAAGGTTTTGTATTAGAATTCTTGGCAATTTCATAGTTTATGAGGCAAACAAAAAAGACACTCCAAAATTCAGAATTTTTTTATAGATTCTAAAAATTTAATTTTTTCCAGTACTTTTAATAAAAATCCCTGAATTCTCTGACCTGTGGCAACCCTGGAACTTTAAGAAAAAAATAATTAAAAATCCTTAAAAAATACAATTTTTTTTAATTTCAAGAATACAAAAATTTAATTTTTGAAATTATTTTCAGGATCCCCCCGAACCCATCGAGAAAAATCGCTGGTGGTGGAATCTTCCAGTTTCTAAAATGCAATTAATCAAACCAATATTTTTACGAAATGGTGCGACATGCAAAGAGACAATTGATATTTTACAAAAATCAACGATTCATCAAATTCCGGTTCTAATGGAGAAAAATAAAGTTAAGGGAATTATTACACTCAATGAAATTCAAAGTAATTTGATTCAAGGCCAAATGGATGATGATGATCCAGTGGAGAATATAATGCTAACGAAATTCCCAAAACTCGAAAGTTCAGCTACACTTGGCAGACTTTCCCGAATTCTAAAAAATGAACAATTTGCCATTATTCTAAACAACAATGAATTCGTGGGAGTGGCCAGACAAATAGATTTGTTGAATTTTATCAAAAAATAATGCTGATCATTAAAATTTACTTGTGATATTTTTTGCTTCCATATACATATATATTTTACTATTATTTCTGCACAATTTAATTAAAGCAGTATTATCAACAGAAAATTTTATTTTTTAAAAAAGAAATAATTATGACAAAATAAAAAATTCGAGAAAAATTTAATTGAAAAAGAGGAAATTTAGTTGAAAAGAAGCAATCTTTTTAATTGTTAAAAAAAAACATTTTTATGACGGTGATGAAAAATTATTGCAATTATTTTTGAACGAATTTAAAATAAATTAAAATAATATAATATTTTGTACAATATTTTACAATGAATTAAACTTTGAGATAGAGAAATTTATTAAATTATTAAATTGAATTCCCTTTCTTTATTAACAACTTTGTTTTTATGATTTTGAGGAAAAAAATATAATTTTTTCTCGACAATTCAATCATTCGTTGTATCTCAAACTCAATTAATTATTCCAATTAGTGTTAAACAAGTTAGACTGAAAAATGAATTTTAAATCAATGAAGATTAGGTGCCTGTTGAATGAGACTTTGTTCCTCAAAATTGAAGAAAAATAACTTGATAAAACCAGTAATTAGAGATAAAAAAAAAAGAATGAAACGTCATGCTGGTCAGAAAATAATATGCGAATGCCTTTCTCTTTGCTATAGTTTGTTATAAGCGGTGAAGACGTGAATATGCGAAAAGCCGATTACAGTCGGCTTAATTATTGAGACAATCCGATTGAATTGTCAAACAGTGTCGTGAAAAAAAAATTTTTAATTACTTTACATCTAGTAAAAACTAATTTACTGTCAAATTCAACAAATAAAATTTTATGTTCTTCTGAAAAAAAAATAGAAAAATTTTCTTAATTTTCTTTTACTAACAAGAGAAGTAAATCTCGAAATGGATCAAGTAAAACCGGATAAACCAAAACATTGTACATGGCAGCCAAATGCCAAAGACACGCCTCATACTCAAAGATCTCTGTAAGTAAAAAAATTTAGAAATTTTAAAAATTCAATAAAAATTAACTTTCAAAAATCGAAAATTAATTATGTAAGAATGAAAATTCCATACTTTACATTTATTTAATGGTAGCGTAATTTTTATTTTTTTTTTCCATAAAGCTTTGAAAATTTTTTTTAAAATCATAAAATATAAAAAAATTTTATTTACAATTTTATTATTTGTTTCTACAATGTAAAAAATTTAATTATAAATATTTGAGAAAAATTCTTAGCAAGTCACTTTTGATAAAATTGATAAGGTATCAACGGTCTGAATAATAATATAAAAATAAAATAAATTGCATAATTTTTTCACTGAAAAAAAATCATGTTTTTTAATTTACAAAAATATAATTTATTATAGTTTAATTATAATAAAATACTATTAATTAAAATAAATATTTTTATATTTTCTTGTATATTGAAATAAATAAAATTAAAACATATCATCATAGTTTAAATAAAATCCTATTTTTCAAGTTAAAATAAATATATTTCTATTATTTTAAAGGCACGTAGATCGAAAGAAAATATTGCGAAATATTTTAGAAGCGATTGGCGAGACTCCCATGGTACGTCTCAACAAAATTCCAAAACAACATGGAATAAAGTGTGAAATATGTAAATATTCCAAATTTAATAATTAACAATTAAAATGAATTAAAATCTAATAATTAAATTCCAGGATGACGGCTTTCTTCATAAAAAAAATGCCCGGTCATAATTTTTTTTTCTGTTTATAAAGAGAAATTCTCAAAAATGATTTTCAAGATTTTAATTTAATTAGTTTCTAGAAATTTTAACTAAAATTCTTCTCTAATTCAATTATTTTTTTAATTTTTTGAGAAAATTTCTTAAAAATATATATTTAAAAATATAATCTCAAAAAAAGGTGAATAAAAATGTTTCAAAAATACTAACTTATTCAGAGTTTTTATAACAATTTTTTAAAATTTGAACTTTTCGAAAACTTTAATTTGAAACTTTTTGAAAATTGTTTTTGAATTTTTTTATTTGATAGAAATTAAGGAAGTTATGATTTTTTTAAATTTAACGTCTTCAGAAGCAGAGGACTTTTGAAAAATTGTTTTCTCTCTTGTTCAAAAAGAAAAAAAATAATATAATATATGAAAATTATTGGTTTCTTCTTGAATATTTCAAATATGTAATAAAAAATAACGTTAATAAAGCGGAAACATTAAATAAATAGAAATTCTGTCTAAAAAGTAACTTTTCTCAAAACCGAACTAAGTTTATATTAATTTTTATATTACTTTTTGTAATTTTTATAACTTTCTACAGTTTTGAATCTGAAATAATTTAATTTTATTAAAATTTTTGAAAATAGGTACTTTAAATTGTTTTTGAAGAATTTTTTGGTAATTTTGTGAAAATAATTAAATTTTTATAATTGAATTCTTTCGAGAAATTTTATTAAAATTATATTGAAAATAGTTGAATTCTTGTGAAGAATTTTATTATACGTATGAAAATAATTGAATTCTTGCAAATTTTTTCAACGAATTTAATTAAATTTGTATTAAAAATAATTGAATTTCGTGCGAAGAATTTTATTAGATTTTTTAAAAATAATTCAATTGTTTTAAAGAATTTTATTAAATTTGAATTTTTTTAAAGTTTGTGTCTGAAATTATTCAAAAATTGAATCAATCATTTCAAAAATTTTGAAATAAAATTATTTGCAAAATTATTTAAAGTAAATTTAATTTCAAATCTGTAAAGTTCAATTACAGAAATAGAAGGAATTTATAATTAAATTGAATTTAAAGTTTTTTGGTACATTTTTGATCTTTTTTTCAGAACCTTTTGTTAAATTGATTTCCCGGTCAGAAATCATTTTTATTTTTAAAATAAATATTTAATTATTAAATCCATTATTTTTCCATAAGTATTGAAATTTTAAAAAAATTCAAATTTCAAATCCTTTAAAATCGAAAAATTTTAAAGAATCGCTACTGGTAACTTATTAGAAATTATTTTCAAAATTTCAATTCAATTATTTTCTAGAAATTTAAACTAAAATATTTCAAAAATCCACTTGTTTACAATACAATTTCATGAAATTTTGAATAATTTTAAAGTTTTTCAATTAAATATTATATATTTAAAACTATAACTAATTTCAAAAAGATGTGAATAAAAATGTTTCAGAAAACTATCTTATTCAGAATTTTTAAGATTACATTTTAAAAAAATTCAATTATCTTGAGAATAACGATAGAATTAAAAAATTTCAAAAATCTTATTTTTCAGAATTTTCAAAAAAATTTTTCTAAAATCCAATTTTATTAAAAAATTCTAAGTGTGTATCTTTTTTAAAATTAACTAATAAAAATTTTAATTATTAATCTTTACGCTAAGAAATATGAATACCTTAGAATGTGATTCTTTATAAAATTTAATTATTTATCAATTATTAAATTAAAATACTTTGAAAATTCGATTTGTTAAAAAGTTTCTAATGAAATTCTTTAACAAATTTAATTATTTTCAGTTGAATTTCACAAAATTTCTAATTCGATAATTTTTTTAATTTATTTACATACTACAGGGCTCAAATCGTCTTTAAGACTAAAAAAATCGCTTTAGTCGCATAAATTTACAACAAAAGTCACGAAAAGTCGCATAAAATTTCCGAAAAAGTCAAAAAAAAGTCGCATGAAATCTTAGAAAAAAACGACAAAAGGAAAACACAAAATTGTAAAAAAAAATCACATTTCTTGACAACAGATACATTAATATCAAACAATCCGGAATAAAACTTTAAAAAATTTAATAAATTCATAGCAAAATTTTAATTAGGTATTTTTAACATTTTTTTTAAACTCTCTTTAAAATGTCAATTATTGTTATAAATAATAAAATTCTTCTCCGAAATTCAATTATTTAAAAAAAATTTTAATAAAATTCTTCTCTGAAATTCAATTATTTTCAAAAATAATAAAATTCTTCGCAGAAATTCAAAATTTTTTTTTAATTTTTCGTCAAAATTTTATAAATAATAAAATTCATCATAAAAATTTAATTATTTTTAAAAGTTCTGATAAAATTCTTTGCAAAATTCAATTATCTTCAAAAGTACGAAAATTCTTTAAAGAAATTCAATTATGTTTATAAATATCAAAATTCTTCTGCAAAATTGAATTACTTTAAAAAAAAATCTGTTAAAAATTTCAATTATCTTTGCGAATAATAAAATTCTTCTCTAAAATTCAATTATTTGCAAAGAATTTTAATAAAATTCTTGTCAAAATTTCAATTATCTTTATAAATAATAAAATTCATTCTAGAAATTCAATTATTTTCAAAAGTAATAAAATTCTTTGCAAAATTCAATTATTTTCAAAATTTTCTTTAAATTTCTCGTCAAAATTATCATTATCTTCATAAATAATAAAATTCATCCTGGAAATTTAATTATTTTAAAAAGTTCTGCCAAAATTCTTTGCAAAATTCAATTATCTTTAGAAGTAAAAAAATTCTTGGCAGAAATTAAATTAATTTCAAAATTTTTTTTTAAATTCTTCTCAAAATTTCAATTATGTTTATAAATTATCAAAATTCCTCTGCTATAATTCAATTACTTTTAAACATTTTTAAAAAAATCTGTTCAAAATTTCAATTATCTTTGAGAGTAATAAAATTCTTCTCTGAAATTCAATTGAGCTCCCGCGGGCAATAACTCGATCTGCGCTCGGACGCAAGCGCTAGTACCAGTCGGGGAGCAGTGAGCGCCTCTGCGCCACTCACTGCCACCCGACTGGTATTAGAGAGTGCGTCCGAGCGCAGATCGAGTTATTGCCCGCGGGAGCTCAATTATTTGCAAAAATTTTAATAAAATTCTTTGTCAAAATTTAAATTATCTTTATAAATAATAAAATTCATCCTAGAAATTCAATTATTTTTCATTTTTTTTTTAAATTTCTCGTCAAAATTTTAATTATCTTCATAAATAATAAAAAATTTTTTTAAATTCTCCTCAAAATTTCAATTATCTTTGTAAATATCAAAATTCTTCTGCAAAATTCAGTTACTTACTAATGTTTTATAAATTCCTTCCCAATAATTCAATTATTTTCATAAAAAATAATTAAACATTTTTTTATAAAGTCGCTTATAATATAAAATAATGATTTTAACATTCGATCCTCTTTAATTATTATAAAACATGAAGACATCGATTTTCATAAGTTGTTTAATTTCAAAAAGGTTTGAATTTGAATCTTTTGAAAACTTTTAATTCCTATGGAAAAATAATAATTCAATATTTATTTAAAAAAGAAGTTATTGATGTTTTCGAAAAATTTGAAAGAAATTTGTCAATAAATGTAACAGAACATTTTATTTGACTCAAACTTTTTCCTTTAAATTTAAAAAAAAAAATTTTAATTTCAGTCGCATTTTACTAAAAAAAATTTCGAAAAAGTCGATTAGTCGCATTTTTTCACAAAAAAGTCGAAAAAAGTTACAATTCCTTAGAAAAGTCGAAAAAAGTCGAAAAAGTCGCACATTCCGAGCCCTGATAACTAGATTTGAATCAGTGACTGATTTTGTAATATCAAATTAATTATTTTGCACTAATTCAAATTTAAAGAACAGTATATAGATATTTATAAATTTTTAATAAAAAGCGATTTTTTAAAAATAAATTAAAATAGGTAATAAAACTTTCTTTAATTTGGTGAAAAAATTCCCTGTTTGTCATAAAATTCCTGACTCATTCCCGGTTTTTCCCGGTCAAATTAAATTCCCGGCTATTTCCCAGTTTAAATTGAAATGTTAATTTAAGAATGAAAAATGATTTCGAGATTTTGTTGTAAAGAGAAAACAAAAAACAAATTTCAGTGGCAAAATGCGAATTCATGAATCCAGCGGGATCGATGAAAGATAGAGTCGCGCATCGAATGGTCCAGGATGCGGAGGAAAAAGGTTTATTGAAACCTGGCGACACAATTATTGAGCCAACGAGTGGAAATACAGGAGTTGGTTTGGCAATGGTAACGGCTGTCAAAGGGTATAATTGCGTGACAGTAATGCCTCAATGGATGTCGAATGAAAAGCAATACACGATGCAGGCCCTTGGTGCAAAAGTGGTGAGGACGCCGGTCTCAGGCCTTCCCGACAATCCCGAGGGACCATTCATGGTCTCTGCAAAATTGCTGCAACAAACACCGAATAGTGTCGTTTTAAACCAGGTGAATTAATCCTCTCCCATTTCAGCAAATTTGAACCTATATTTAAACAAAATTTTTATTAAAATTTATTATTGTTTCCTCTGAAATTAAACATTAAAATGAAAAATTTATTTCTTTTTACACAAGAAACAGAATCCAATTTTTAATTGAATGACGAATTAATTTTACTTTTTATAAAAATAAAATAAAAAAAAAAATTTTCAATTCAAATTCAATCAAAAATTTAAATTACAAAAGTATTTAATAAAAAATTCATTTTTTAAAAAATAAAATCAAAAATAAATATAATTATACCTAAAATTATGTGAAAAATTAATTCCCCTAAAGTTTTGAACATTTTCTTTCTATATAAATATTTTTAAAACTTATCTTACTGTGATAAAAAATAAAAATTTATATAATTGAATTAAATATTTACTTAAAACTTCTAGTTCATTTTTTAAAAAAAATTTTTTCATATAATAAATGCAAATTAACAAAAAGTATTAATTTGTCCTACATTTGAACGTTCAAAACTTTAGAAACATTAGAAAAAAATAAAAATTTGCAAATAAAAATTTTAAATAAAGATAAAAATCGATAATTACAAATAGTTAAATTAATATAATAAACATTGGTGAACGAAATATTAAAACAATATTGGGATATAAAATAAAAATTTTTTCCAGTATTCAAATCCGTCAAATTCACTTGCTCATTACGATACAACGGCTGAAGAAATCTTCGAACAAACGGGAGGAAAAATTGATTATTTTGTCGCTGGATCAGGAACTGGAGGTACTCTCACTGGAATTGCTCGTAAACTTCGAGAATTATCGCCTCAAACGAAAATAATTGCCGTCGATCCCCTGGGAAGTCAAATGGCAAATCCTCCTGAACTAAATAAAACTCCAGTAACTTTTTGGGAAACCGAGGGAATTGGGTAAGAAAAATTGTAAATTCGAAAAGACGAATATTTATATAATAATTCTAATGATAGGAATAATAATTATAATAATAAATAATAATAAAAAAAATAATAATAAAAAATAATAATAATAATAATAACAATAATAATTAATTTTAAAATTAATAATACAAACAATAATAATAGTAACAATAAACAAATAATAATCTGTCTGAAATTAAAAACCAAACAAATCGTAAACTTGATAATCTTTGACCACAAAAAAATGAAAACACTAAAATATATGTATGTATTTATATATAAATTTTAATTTATTCGTTTAATTTTTAAAGTGAGTAATGAATCAATGTTCAGTTCAAATTTTACTGTGAATTAAATAAAATATTTTTCTAATACCTATAATTAATAATTTTTTGAATACTGATAAAAAATTTAAAAAACATTTATTGTCAATCAAAACAAATAGATTTCTTAACTGAGATTTTCTAATAATTTTGATTTTATATTCTGTATTTTTTTTATTTATAAAAATTTAAATATCAACGTTTTCAATATTTTAACAATATTTCTTAAATATAATTAAAAAAAAAACAATTGCTGTGTTATAATAGTAACTGTTTTAGTATTTCAGACTTTGCATTCGATAATTAATTTCAAAAAAGTAGCTTTCAAGCTAAAAAAAGTAGCTATTAAAAAATGAAACTTAATTAATTTCAAAAAAGTAGCTTTCAAGCTAAAAAAAGTAGCTATTAAAAAATGAAACTTGACGACCAAAAAAATTCGTTTTAGACACTTCACAAAACTGACGAAAATTCCATTCTATATTTTATTTTCCTGACTTTTTCCTAATTTTCATCAAAAATATTTATTTCCTTCTTATCCTGCTAATAAATTGAATTCCTGCAATGTTTTTATTCATAAAAGAATTTAAATATTTATAAAAGTAATTTAATTCTTGCGAGGAATTTTATAAAATTTTTTTAAATAATTCATTTCTTTCGACTAATTTTATGCAAATTCTAATTTAAATAATTAAATTCCCGAGAAATTTTTATTATTCATGAAAAGAATTGAATTTTTACGAAGATTTTTATAAAAAATTTTTTAAATAATTGAATTCTGTTTGGAAATTTCATGAAAATAGTAGATATAAAAAATCACTGAATTGCGAAAAGTTTTTAAAAGCAAATTTTGACAAAAAATTCAATTAAAATTAAAAATTTTTTGAAAATAATTAAATTCTAAAAAAGAATTTTATTATTTATGAAAATAATTGAATTCTTGAGAACGAATTTATAAGAATTTATAAAAATAATTTAATTTCCAAGAAGAAATTTATTACTTTTAAAAATTATATTGAATTCTTGTAATGAACATTGTTATTTATGAAAACAATTGAATTTTGCAAAGAATTTTATTAAAATACCTGAAAATAATTGAATTTTCGGGAATAATTTTTTTATTTATCGACATAATTGAATTCTTTCGAAGAATTTAATTAAATCCAAAAGATTAATTATTTCAAAAAAATGTAATTAAAATTGTATTTAAAATAACTGACTTCTTTATTGGACAATTTTATTAAAATATTTGAAAATAATTGAATTCCTGTGAAAAATTCTAATATTTTTGCAAATAATAATTGAATTCTTCCAAAGAATTTTAAAGAAACATTTTTTTAAATAATTCATTTTTTCGAGGAATTGAAATTTAATTTTTAAGAATAATTACATTTTTCGAGCAATTCCTGTAAAATTGTAATAAAAATAATTGAAATCCTGCGATGAATTTTATTATTTATGAAAATAATTGAATTCTTGCTTAGAATTTTATAAAAAAATTTTTAAAAATAATTGAATTCCTGAGAAGAATTTTATTATTTATGAAAATAATTGAATTATTGCAAAAAATTTCATTAAAATGTTTAAAAAGAATTGAATTTCTGTAAAAAATTTTGTTATTTTTGAAAATAATTGAAATCCTGTGGAAAATTTTATTTCTGGAAATAATTGAATTGTTCGATTAATTAATTTAAAATAGTATTAAAAATAATTGAAATTAATTCATGAGTTTTATTATTTATGAAAATAATTGAATTTTTGCTTAGAATTTTTTGTAAAAGAAATTTTAGAAAATTTGACCCTCCACCGATTTTTTAAAAATTTTTTGAAAATGCTATTCTAAATAAATTGAATTCCTGTGGAAATTTTATTATTTATGAAAATAATTGAATTTTAGATGAATTCTATCAATTTTTCTTTAAATAATTGAATTCCTTTGCGAAATATTATGGAAATACTAGATATTGAAAATAATTGAATTTCGATTATTTTTTGAAAATAATTGAATCGTTTCAATGAATTTAAATAATATAATTTAAAGTATTTAATTTTTAGAAAAAAAACAATTTTTCAGTTTTTTCAAATAATTTTTTGTTTTGTTTAATATTTTCAAATTTAAATATTGTGTATTAAAAATCATTGAATTCTTGCAGAGAATATTATCAAAAAAATTTGAAAATAATTGAATTCCTTGAAAGAATTTTATTATTTATGAAAATAATTGAATTTTTGCGAAGCATTTTATTAAAATTTTTGAAAATCTTAATTAAATTCTTTTTAACAATTTCTTTCAATTTTTTTTTGAAAAATAATGGAGTTTCTTTAATACCTAATTTGAATTGAAAATTTTAAAAGAAATTGAATTTTATGAAGAATTTCTATCAAGTTTTTAAAATAATCATGTCTGTTAATAATTATAATTAAAAATTTGTTTATTGTATTTTATTAAAATTGTATTAAAAATAATTGGATTCCTGAAAGAGTTTTTTTTCATTTATAAAAATAATTGAATTGAATTTTAAAAAAAAAAATTATTTGCCCTTGCAACACTTGGTAGTTTTACAATAAAATCGGTTTTGTTTTTAATTTCAATAAATGAATTATTTTGTATATTAAAAAAATTATTTCTTGAATATATAAATATTTAATTTTAATTATTTTTCCTTTTTGCGTATATGTAGTATTGTTTTTTAAATATTTTAGCAGAAAAAAATTTCGTTCATTTGAAGGTTTAAAACTTGAGAAAAATTACTTATTAATGTTAGTAAAATTCAATTTAATACATTTTTATTAATATTAACAAATTCGATTTAATATGATAATAATTATTATTAAAATTAATAATTAAAAGCATTTCATTTTCAAAGAAATAAATAATTTTCCAGCCACGTTTATCTTCCGTCGAATATGGATCGAGATGTCGTCGATCAATGGGTGAAATCAAATGATCGCGATTCATTTCTCGCCGCCAGAAGTTTAATTCAAGACGAGGGTCTACTTGTGGGTGGAAGTTGCGGAGCCGTTTTGTGTGCGGCACTTGAAATAGCGAAAGATCTTCCAGAAGACAAACGTGTCGTGATTCTATTACACGACGGAATTCGAAATTACTTGACGAAATTTGTCTCCGACTATTGGATGGAGAGCCGAGGCTATTTAGTAAGTTAGAAAAAAAATAATTTATTCTCCATAAAAGCGAATTATTCTTCTTGATGACGAAACAAAAAAGAAATGAACGAAATAAAATTTTATAGCAATTTTTTCAAATAAAAAACTTTTCTTCTATTTTTCAGGATCCTCCCGAACCAATCGAAAGCAATCGCTGGTGGTGGGATCTTTTGGTTTCTGATCTTCATCTAAATAAACCTTTTGTTATTCCAGAAGGAACAACTTGCGAGGATACAATGAAAATTTTCCAAGAAAAAAAATATCATCAATTGCCAATTGTCAAATCAAACAATGAAATTATTGGTTTCATAACGCAAAATTTGATATTAAGTAATTTAATTTCAGGAAAAGTGCAAAAAATCGATGTGGTCGAGAAAATAATGGAAAAAGAATTTCGTAAAGTAAATCTAAAAACGTCACTCGGTAAACTTTCTCGTTTTCTCGAACATGAACATTACGCCGTTGTTTTGGACGATGATAAAAATGATGAATTAGTCGGAATCGTCACTCAAATTGATTTATTGCATTTCATCAACAGCAGCAGAAATGGCGCAACTGCGTAAATTTAGTTTATCACTAAATTTCGAATTAATTTCTCTCTAAAATCGAATTTAATTACTTAATTACTGCTACTTCATCAAAATTATTTTCATCTTTTCAAATTCATTTGTTTATCATTCAATTTTACCAAATTTCAATTATTCGTAAATTCTTCAATTAAATATTTATTAGAAAATAACAACTTCAAAAAATTTCAACAACAACAAATTTAATTAAACCTTTTCAAAAAAATTAATTTCACAGAATTCTTAGTTAAAAGTGTACAAAAATTAAATTTTCAAAGCTTTTAATTTGAAACCTTTTCAAAATTTAATTATTTCTAAAAATGCATGCTTTTCAAATTCCCTGACTTTTCCAGGTTTTCCAGGTTAAAAAACAGAATTTTTCCAGGTTTTTAAAGCGAAAATTATTCGAAAAAATCAATAACTTCATTTTTAAATAAATATTTAATAATTATTTTTTTTATAGAAATTAAAATATTCAAAAATTTGAAAGTCAATAACATATAATAATTAAAACTTGCTACTTTGTTACTGTAACTTTTTCAAAAATTATTTTCATCATTACGAATATTCATTTCTAGAATTTTCAGTTAAAATTCTTTAATTTTTTAAAAATAATTTTTAAAAAAGTTCATTGTGAATTTTCAAATTCTTTTGTTTACAATTTAATTTTACGAAATTTCGATTATTCTGACATTCTTCAATTAATCATATTAGAAATTAAAAACTTCAAAGAATTAAAAAAAAAATTTCATTAAACTTTTTGAGAAAAATTAATTCAACAGAATTCTTAATTAAAAGTATAAAAAGTTCGAATTTTCAAAGATTTTAATTTAAAATTCATTTTTAAATCAATATTTATTGGAAAATTGTGAGAGAAATCAATTATTTAACTACATACAAAAATAAATATTTTATTAAACAATTGAATGTTTCTTAAAATTGAATTTTCATAAAGAATTTTATCAACAAATTTTTAAATAATTGAATTCTCATGACAAATTGTAATAAAATTTTTAAGAATAATTTCATTTTTCGAGAAATTTGATATAAATTGAAATTTTGCCAAGAATTTTATTAAAATTTTTGAAAATAGTTGAATTTTAGAGAAAAATTTTATTATTTATAAAGATAATTGAAATTTTGACGAGAATTTTTCAGGGTGGCCACTTTTTGTAGAAAATTGAATTCCCGGTTTTTTCCCGGTCAATTTTTTTTATTTCCCGGTCATTACATAATAGATTAAAACAATATTTTAGTTTGAAATGTTAAAAATATTAATAACAAACAAAAAAATTATCTTAAATTATTCTGTATTATACATATTACAAATTTAAACTAATCAATATATTGAGCTCATTTAGAGATAACATTTTTTTGACATTTTTTCGAACTGACAATAATATGAAAATTGTAAAAAAAAATAATAAATTTTTACTATTTTACAAATTTCTCATTTTTTAAATGAACTAAAATTTTTCATAATGAACTTTATGATTGATTCTTTAAAACTGAAATAAACGTATGAAAAATAATAGAAATTATGAGAAAAATCCTGTGGAATAAATATTAAAAGAAAAATCCGCTTAAAATAAAAGGATTTCTTTAAATTTAAATAAGTATATTATTTTCTTAGTAACCCCTCTTCATTCCTAACAAAAGTCTGTTAATTTATGTATTCTCTACTATACCTACTTATGTACAATATACTTCTCGAGTAAAAATTAAAAAAAAAATTTTGTTTGGGTCAGTTTAAAAATAAAATTAAAAATAAATTCCCGGTTTAGTATCAAATTTCCCGGTCATTTCCCGGTCAATTTTTCAATTCCCGGTCATTTCCCGGTTTTTCCCGGTCAAGTGGCCACCCTGTTTTTGTAAATTTTTAAACATAATTGGATTCCTGCGAAGAATTGTATTAAAATTATTTTGCATAAAATTTAATTGTTAGGCAAAGAATGTCATTAAAATTTTTGAGAATTTTTTTATTCTTTAAAGAAATTTAATTAAAAATGTATTGAAAATGATACTTAAATTGTAATAAATAAATTGTAACAAAGGTTTTTATAAGAATTGAATGTCTGATAAATTTTAATAACATTTTTAAAAGTAATTACATTTTTCGAGGAATTCCATTAAAATTGTATTAAAAAAATTGAAATTCTGTAATGAGTTGTATTATTTATGAAAATAATTGAATCTTATTTATAAAAATTTTTATTATTTATAAAATTAATTAAATGTTTTCGTAGAATTTTATCAAAATTTTTTTTTAAGTAATTGAAATCTTTTGGAAAATTTTATTAAAATAGTAGATATTGAAAATTATTGAATTGAAGAAAATTTTTGATAAAAATTTAAAATTTTGACAAAAATTTTATTACAATTTTTTAAAATAATTGAATTGATACAAAGAATTTTATTCAAATTTTTAAAAATATAATTGAATTCTTGCAACGAATTTTAATAAAATTCTCAAAAATAATTCAATTCTTACGGAGAACTTTATTAATGTTTTTTAAATAATTAAATTCTAGCGAGGAATTTTATAAAAATCATTTTAAATAATTGATGTTTTTGAAAAAATTTTATGAAAATTGTGTTTAAAAATAATTAAACTTTTGTGAAAAATTTATTAGGTATTTTTGAAAATAATTGAATTCCTAAAATGAATTTTATTATTTAAGAAAATAATTAAATCCCTATAAAAATTTCATATTATTTATGAAAATAATGAAATTATTGCGAAGAAAATTATAAAAAATTTGTAAATAAATAAATTGATGTGAAATTTTTATTATTTTATGAAAATAAAATAAAGAAGCCCGTATGCTTCTTAAATAAATAAATTTTAATTACATGTTTTAATTATTTATGATTTTTGTTGGAAAGTTTTATTAAAATATAGTAGATATATTGAAAATCATTGAATTGAGAAAAATTTTTAATAATAATTGAACTTTTGACAAGAATTTTATTAAAATTTTTGAAAATAATTAAATTTCGGAGAAAAATATTATTATTTATAAAAATATTTAAAATTTTAATGAAAATTTAAAAATTTTTTTGAGCATAATTGAATTTTTGTGAAGAGTTGTATTAATTTTGCAAATAATTGAATTTTTGCAATCATTTGTAACTTCTTCTAAATTCTCCAAATTATATAGAGCAATTTACTAACTTTTCTTTGCTTTTTCAATCACATTACGGACTTTCTTTTTTTTAAAACTGACTTAATCTCAACTTTACGGAATTAAAAATTTGGGAAACTTGAAAGACTTTCAGTCCTCAAAATATTAATATAGTTAATTAAAAATTTTTTATTTCTTCACACTTTTTATAAAATGTTTAATTTTTAAATTGGATTATATACAATCTACAGTACTTTTATTTAACATAATTATATTGAAATGTCCTCATAATTTCGACAATTCAAAAATAATATTGTATTTCTTAAAAATAAAAGGTATAAAAACAAATTTTTGCATTTTTTCTAAAAACAAAAATTGCACGGTGACAATTGTTGGAGAAAAAAAATATATAAATAATCTTACCTTAAAAAGGATATATTTAAAAAACGAAAAATATTTTTACTATATTCGTTGAACGTAGACGTTAAATTTACAACTTGGTAAAGCGGCAACTTCAGCGTCGACTGTACATGGAATTCCCAAATTCGCTAAACTTCCACGAAGAAGACCACAGGTGAATGCTAATAGTCGTGGACTTTCACGTAGATATTGTTTACTGCCATTGCCTCCAATACTGGCCAATAAACGAAAAGAATTGTCTTGCAGCATATAAGTGCCATGATGATTTGTACGTAAATTATCAATTTGTTTCTGATATAAACTCGTCCAAAAATCTGTGCATATAAATTTTATCGTGTCCAATTCGTCTTTAAATCGTGGCCACTCTCTCGTCAGTCTTTCAATTATACGATAACCAACACTGAAGCCCATTGATTCCAATCGCGATAAATCTTCTTCTTTTTCCTTTCGAAATAAATTTTTAAATTATCTTCACATTGTTATGTAAATAGAAGCAAGGAAAATAATATTTTAAACATAGATTAAAATATAATATTTCTTTATAAATATTAACTAGCAATTGATACGCGCGCTAGCGCACTGAACATATTATTCAATTTATTCTTGTTATGCAAATTACAAAATTTTTTATTTTCAAATATAAATTTTTAAATAATTTTATAATCAAAATTTAAAAAATTAATTTATTAAGTACAAGATTAATTCTTATTGTTCATATTTTCAAAAATTTTAATATAATTCTTTGAAAGAATTCAACTATTTTTATAAATACTGAAATTCTTTGCAGGAATTAAATTATTTTTAATCCAACTTAAATAAAATTACACGAAAGACTTTAATTATTTTTAAAAATTTTAATAAATTCTTCGGAAAAATTCAATTATTTTTATAAATAGTAAAATTCTTCGCAAGAATTAAATTATTTTTCAAAACTAATAAAATTTTTCTGAGAAATTCAATTATTTTCAATACAATTTTAATACAATTCTTCTTCATAAAATATTCAATTGCTTTCAGAATTTTCAATTAAAATTATTAAAGAAACTCCATTGTTTTAAAAAAATTCAAAGAAATTCTTCAAAAGAATTTAATTCGGATTTTTAAAAGTTTAAAAAAATTTATGGCGAGAATTCAATTATTTTCATAAATAAAAAAATTCTTCGAAGAAATTCAATTATTTTCTTGAAATTTGTTGATAAGATTCTTTGCGAGAATTCAATAATTAATTAAATTAATATTAAAAGTTTTAACTAATTTTAGAAGAATTTGAATTAATAAATGTTTATTAATTAGTATATTATTATTTTGCAATTATCGATTCTAAAATTAAGAAGCCAAGAAATTTAAAAAATGTTGCAACAACCAAGAAAAGAATAAAATTTGCAGAAAATGTTCAAAGTTTCATTTACGTTTTAAATAATTGCCTAAAGTTTAAAATTATCTCATCAAATAGTAATAAGTAATTACTAACATATTTACATATTGTATGACAGAGAAAATGTATAACATTTAAATTTTACTAAAGAAAAAAAATTTGCCAAAAGTATCATAACCTCAAAAGAAAAATTTTAACGAATTATATGAATGTTTGCAGACAATAACCATTATTTGTCATAATTTGATAAACTTGAAAAGAAAAATTAATTACCCCAGTGTTAACGGATGTGGTTAATACATAATTAACTATTTCTGCGTGTAAATACTCAAATAAACATTCATCAGCTTCACCCTTGTTTCCAGAACTCGATTTCGGATCCACAAACTGATGCTTCATTTTTGATGACAGTATTTATCTTCTAAAATAACAATTAATTAATTATAAAAAATTATTAGGAGTATTTTAAACGATATATTTTATATTTAAAGAGATAAATATTTTGACATTATTTGATAACTTTGCAAGAATTTTTGACATATGCATAGTTATAAAATTCGCCAGAAGGGGATATTTTTACTATACTATACAGGGTTGGGTAATAGTGAATTCGGTTATCTGCTCTAGAGTGCTCTAAGAGTGCTCCTCGAAAGAGTAGTATATTTCGATTTAACAAATTTGCTATAGTCAAAGCATACAAAGAGTGCTCTCGCACGGAGCAGAGCACTCCGTCTCAGAGCAGAGAGCAGTTAACCGAATTCGCTATAAGTAAATTATTTAATTCCTATTTTAAGGCGGTGTTTACATGCTTGCGTTTGAACGCAGGTACAATGAAACTAGCGCGAAATTTTAAATAATTTAAATGTGTTCATTTTTAATTGTAAAATTTTTATATATTTTTTGTCAATAATATTCCAAAAGTTATTTAGGATTTAATTTAGGAATTAATTTATTATTATTAATTTAATTCGGAAATTATAGAAAAAAAGTTGTAAAATTATTCGAAAACATCAAAAACTTCTTTCTTAAATAAATATTTAAATATTGTTATTTTTTCACAGGAATTAAGATTTTTAAAAATGTAAAATTCAAATCTTTTTGAAATTAAACAATTTATAAAAGTATTATCATTGTTTTACATTAAGAATATTTTGTTACTGTAACTTCTTCAAAATTATTTTTATTATTCCAACTCAATTATTATTTTCTAGAATTTTTAACTAAAATTCTTCTCTAAATCAACTATTTTTATAATTTTTGAAAAAGTTCTTTGAGAATTTTTAAATATATTTGTTTAAAATTCAATTTTACAAAATTTCGATTATTCGAAAATTCTTCAATTAAATCATTGTAAGAAAAATTTTGGAAATTTTTCCAAAACAATTTAGAAAGCAAATTCTACTATGTAATTATTTGGAAAAATTTACTAACATAGATTTAAGGAAATTTTTATAAAAAATTATCGAAAATTTTCTATGAGTTTAGAAACATACTCATGAAATAGCCTAGGTAGAAAAACTCACAAAAGCTTGGAAAAATTTTCTTAAATGTTTAGGAAAATTTTTGAGAATTTGGAAAAATGTCCATGTAATTTTCACGTAACTTCAAATTATTTAAAAACAAATTAAATTAAACTATTTCAAAAAAATGAATTCTTCAAAATTGACAGTTTAAAATATAGAAAATTCAAATTTTCAAATAATTTTAATTTGAAACCTTTTCAAAATTATTCAATTATTTAAATAAAAAATTAAATAATTTTTTGAATAATTGAATGTTTTTTAAATTTTAATTCTTAAAAACCTTTTTTTAAACAAATTTATAAATAATCGAATTCTTTTGACGAATTTTAATCAAACTTTTAAGAACAATTACATTTTTCGAGAAATTCGATTAAAATTGTACTAAAAATAATTAAAGTTCTGCGATTAGCTTTATTATTTATGAAAATAATTGAATTTTATAAAAAAAAAATTATTATTTATGAAATTAATTGAATTTGAGAAGAAATTTATAAAATATAGTATACTAAGCAACAAGTTACGTAAAGGTACTTTTAATAAAAATTTCTGACTTTTCCTTGAATCCCTTATTCTCAGAATTTATGATTATTGTTGTTATAATAGTAATAATCTATATTCCAATTCATATTTTTCAATTTTATGAAAAAAATTTGAATTAAAAATTTTTGAATTCTATTTTTTTAAAATTGCTAATTTTATTTAAAAAAAACTTGTAAGAATTGTTGCTAGTATAAAAAATATAGTATAAAGTACAAACATATAATGGAAGAGACAAAAATTGTTGCAGTAGAAGAAACAAATTCATAACAAAAAGCATTTTTGTTCAATCTTTTAATCCAATTGAATGAAAAAGTGTGGAAATTTCAAGTATAAGATAATATAGTGAAATTCCACATTTTTTTCATCGTAATATAATTATAATATAAATATTAATATATTTATCACTTTTTTTTCTTAATTAGTGTGGAAATTAAGAAAATGCTGATGTTAATATTCGAAGATCGCTCATTGAAAGATATTGTAAAATTTTTTCTATATTAATTGTTGAAAATTGAATTCTAAAATTCCCTTCAATGTAATGATACAAATAATTCGTGGACATGTCAATTACATCAATTTTACGCTTTGCTCTCTCAATACGTAACTTTAATAATTTTGCATAAGCGGAAAATTTATCGTATGACAATTCAATGGTGTTTAATAATGTCTCATCTCTTATGCACCTCGTAATTATATCAAAAGGCTTTACCAAAATATCGTAAAAAGTTAAATTTAATTCATCGATAACTTTTGTTTTCTGCATATTTATTATCTGTAGTCGACATTCATTTTGAAATTCTTGTATTTTTGTTACATCTTCTCTTGAATTAAAACATTCAATTATTCTTTTGTCTCTGGGTGCTAATAATTCAAGACGTCCAATTATCAACTTTAAAAGTACATTTTGTTTTCCTTCAAAAATACTTGAATGTACGTTCTTTTGTATGACATTTAAAAGCTTGTCGACGTCCTCTATTTCATTGACTATAAATAAATAGCTCCAATTATGTACAAAAGCACCAATTTCGGTTCGGTGTACTTTAAAATCGTAGTATTCGCTAATAATTTCAAAAATAATTACAGAAATATATTTCTCTAACTGTGAATCTAGAACATGTGCAAGATCACTTTTCTTTAAATAATTAAATAAGCATCTAATAATTGCAGTACGAAATTCCTCATTTTTTTCTTTAATGTTCACAATCTCTTTATTGTCACTGATGTTCGAAGTTTGTAAATTCTCGACAGAAATTTTTAAATTAATGACTGTAGTCAATAAATCATCTATAATGTTCCTGTCCCTTTCCTTGAGATCTCCGGCAATTAATAACAACTCTGTTATTTTTAATATATTTTGAAACATTGAAGGTGTAATTGTTGATTTTGCTCCACATAGTACATGATTAAGTGTTGGAATCCTTCTCTTCTTAGGGGGCTTAGCACCAGAGGCTAAGAGAAATTTAATCATATTAAAGTGACCCGCGGATGCTGCAAAATCCAATGGTACAATGCATTCTTTTGTTTTCGAATTAATTTTTGCGCCATGCTTCAGAAGAATTTCAACTAAACGTGTATGTTCGGAGGTAGCTGCAATATGGAGAGGAGTTATATTGTCACGAAAGCAACTGTCGACTGAACAACCTGCTTCTAGGAGTATTTTTAAAATTTCCTCATTTCCATTTTCAACGGCAATGTAAACAGCGAATTGTCCCAATTCTCCAGCTAGAGACTTCATTTCTACTTTGTTGAGGATTTCTTTCACATTTTCGATTTGATTCGCACGTACAGCGGAATGAAGTTCAGTTTCCTTGGAGCATAACTCAGCTTCGATTTTGGAAAAACAGGTTAATAGGTATCTCCAAAGTTTTAATTCGCCTCTTGCAAATGATTGAAGAAGTAGGGTATTTTTTGAAGTATACACATTTTGTTTTAAACCGAAATCAAGAAGACATTTCAAGATATCTGTATGTTTATCTGTTGTACAGTAATGTATGAGAGGATTTTTTGTATCTATTATTGATATATTTTCAAGCAGATATTTCACAATGTCTAAATGATGTTTAGCTAGGGCCATACGTAGAGGTTTTGAATATTCATAATTTTTTGAATCAAACTTGTCAAATATATTTGACATTAATAATTTGACTATTTCTAAATTTCCAACTCTAGCAGCAATGGCCATTGATTTCCAGAAGCATGGATAATTTGATTCATTCACATTGACACTTTTTTTTAAAAGACTTTCGACAATTTTAATACTCTGCTTTGCAACTGCGACATTAAGGATCTTTATACTGTCTTTACTTGGAATATCCAAACAGGTACTATTTTCCAAAAGAAATTCGGCTACTTCAATTTCATTTTCGTGTAAGGCAATGAATAAAGGTGTTCTTTCTCTATAATCCTTGACATTAATGGTAGCTCCTTTTTTTATCAGCAAATCAACAATATGTAGGTGGCCTCGTGCTGCTGCCACGTGCAACATTCTTCTGCCAAATACTTTTTCTTCTAAATTATTTTCATTGAGTAGAAAACGAAAGCGATTTAAATTACCATTGTGAACGGCAAGAAAAATAGGTGTGTAACATTCAGTATTATTGTATTCTCCACAACCATCGTCATTTTCGTTTGTATCATCATCATCATAATAGTCATTTTTACTAAAACAAAAGTCACCATCATGCCACTCTTTTCGGTACATTTTTCATTCACCTGATCTTAATAAAAACGAGGTATCTTTCGGTCCTGTTTATACACACTTATAGCGATGTCAAATTCTACATTAAATCTCGCCCGCAACTTTTTCGATGGTACCTAAAAGATTTGAATTTTATCCATTAAACTTTGAGAGAACTTTTGTTAATCAACTATAATTTGTAGATACTTTAAAGTAAAAATAGAATTTATACAATACATACCCAATTGTCCGGCAATTGTTGATTTTCCAAAATAATGTCGCCTTCAAAATGTACTACACAGAGGAGAGGATGAATCACTTTTATAGACTTGTAAAGTCAATCTAAAACAACATTAAAATAATCTGTATTACTTTTTAACATTTATTCTAAATCTATAGCAAAGATTATAGAATATAATCTAGAATTTACATAAATTCGTATATTTTCACAAATTTACAATTATTTTTTATTTCAAATCAAATAAATAATAAAATAATCAGGGTTGTTACACTTTTTCTCTTTTCAAATTCCCTCTGACTTTTACAGATTTTCCAGGATAAAAAAACGGAATTTTCCCAAGTTTTTAAAACGAAAATTATTCGAAAATATCAATAACTTCATTTTTAAATAAATATTTAATCATTATTATTTTTTCATAGAAATTAAGATTTTCAAAAATTTGAAATTCAATACTTTGTTACTGTATATTCTTCAAAAATTATTTTCTCATCATTACAATTATTCATTTCTAGAATTTTTAACTAAAATTATTCTTTAAGTCAATTTTTTTAAAATAATTTTTCAAAAAGTTCTTTAAGAATTTTCAATTTTTTTTTGTTTACAATTTAATTTTACGAAATTTCAATACTTTTAACGAACAAAAAAAGTCGCTTTAGTCGATTAAAAATAAAAAAAAAGTCGAAAAAGTCGTTTATTTTATATATTTTGTATTCCCCTGATTCTTCACTGATTTCTAAATTCAATTAATCCAAAATTTTCAATTAAAATTCTTTAAAAGTTAATTTTTAAAAATTGTAATAAAATACTTGAAAGAAATGATTTATTTTCTATTAAATTTTACGAAAATTTCAATTATTCAAAATCCTTTTAATCGTATACTTTAAAAATTTCGATTATTCTGACATTCTTCAATTAAATGTACCTATTAGAAATTGAAAACTTTAAATAATTAAAAAAAAATTCCATTAAACTTTGTGAAAAAAATTTTAATATTACAGAATTCTTAATTAAAAGTATAAAAAGTTCAAATTTTCAAAGATTTTAATTTAAAACCTTTTGAAAATTCAATTATTACTAAAAATCCATGCTATAATGCTTTCAATATTCAATTACAATCTCGATTATAATCTTAAATTTAAACTCAAATTCATTTTTAAATCAATATTTATTAGAAAACTCTACAAAAATTCAATTTAATTCAAAAATTATGTAACTACAAAAATAAATATTTTATTAAATAATTGAATTCTTTCGACGAATTATAATAAAATTTTTAAGAATAATATTTTTTCGAGAAATTTGATTAAAATTGCATTGAAAATAATTGAAATTCTGCCAAGAATTTTATTAACGTTTTTGAAAATAATTGAATTTCAGAGAAAAATTTTATTAATTAGGTATAAAAATAATTGAAATTTTGACTAGAATTTTTGTTAGTTTTTTAACATATTTTTTTTTTGTCAAGAATTTTGAAAATAATTGAATTCTTGAGACGAATTTTATTAAAATTTCTTTTTAAATAATTAAATTCTTTGGTGAAATTTTATTGAAATAGTAGACATTGAAAATAATTTAATTTTGACAAATTTGTTAAATTAATTAATAAATTGTAGCTAAAATTTTTGAAATAATTGAAATTCTTTGCTGAATTTCAATAAAATTTTTAAGAACCTAATTATACAGTTTTCGAGGAATTCTATTAAAATTGTATTAAAAATAATTCAAAAGTCTGCCATGAGTTTTATTATGTATTTATGAAAATAATTGAATCCCTGTAAAAAATGTTATTATTTATGAAAATAATTTAACAATAATTTGTAAACAATTGAATTCTTATGAAATTTTTATTATTTATGAAAATACTGAAATGTTTGCGTAGACTTTTATTTATAAATGTTTTTTAATTAATTGAATTGTTTTGGGAATTTTTATTAAAGTAGTATAGATATTAAAAAGCATTGAATTGAGGAAAGTTTTTAAGAATAATATTAAAAATTTTTAAAGAATTTTAAACTATATGATTTCAAGAATAAACACTATAATTTTATAAACAACAGTTTTCCAGAATTTCGATAAAAATTCCCGAAATTCCCTGACTTTTCCCTGAATTTCTAATTTAAAGAATATAATAATTTAAACGTTTAAAGTACAATTTTGAGGTTAGAAATCATTTGAGGATTGTTCTTGACAATTAATCTCATATCAACATCACATAAGTATAATACCTAAAATACACTTGAAACTTATCTTAAAATAAGAAAATTGTTATTACTTGATGCAATAAATGTTTAAAAATAAGAAAAGTCTTCTTTTTTTCTTTAAGAAATAAACATCTACATATCACACTCGGTCGTATGAAATCTCCCAAAAATCAAATCGATCGAATATCCATTACATCGAATTTCAAAACATCGAATGCTCAATACATCGAATTTTCAAAACATCGAATGCTCAATATATCGAATTTTCAAAACGTCGATTGCTCAACACATCGAATTTTCAAAACTTCGAATGTTCATTAGATCGAATTTTTAAAACATCGAATGTTAAATTGATCGAATTTTTAAAACATCGAATGTTAAATTGATCGAATTTTCAAAACTTCGAATGCACATTACATCGAATTTTTAAAACGTCGAATGCTCATTTCATCGAATTTTCAAATCTTCGAATGTTCATTTGATCGAATTTTCAAATCTTCGAATGTTCATTTGATCGAATTTTCAAAACGTCGAATGCTCATTTCATCGAATTTTCAAAACTTCGAATGTTCATTAGATCGAATTTTTAAAACTTCGAATGTTAAATTGATCGAATTTTCAAAACTTCGAATGCTTATTTCATCGAATTTTCAAAACGTCGAATGCTCATTTCATCGAATTTTTAAATCATCGATTGTTAATTTGATCGAATTTTTAAAACGTCGAATGTTAATTTTATCGAATTTTCAAAACTTCGAATGCTCATTTCATCGAATTTTCAAAACTTCGAATGCTCATTACATCGAATTTTTAAATCATCGAATGTTAATTTGATCGAATTTTCAAAACGTCGAATGCTCAGTTCATCGAATTTTTAAAACATCGAATGCTCATTTCATCGAATTTTCAAAACTTCGAATGTTGATTTGATCGAATTTTCAAAACTTCGAATGCTTATTACATCGAATTTTCAAAACTCCGAATGCTTATTACATCGAATTTTCAAAACGTCGAATGCTCATTAGATCGAATTTTCAAAACTTCGAATGCTTATTTCATCGAATTTTCAAAACGTCGAATGCTCATTTCATCGAATTTTTAAATCATCGATTGTTAATTTGATCGAATTTTTAAAACGTCGAATGTTAATTTGATCGAATTTTCAAAACGTCGAATGCTCAGTTCATCGAATTTTTAAAACATCGAATGCTCATTAGATCGAATTTTCAAAACTTCGAATGCTTATTTTATCGAATTTTCAAAACGTCGAATGCTCATTTCGTCGAATATCCAAAACTTCGAATGCTCATTTCATCGAATTTCCAAAACTTCGAATGCTCATTTCATCGAATTTTTAAAACATCGAATGCTTATTACATCGAATTTTAAAAACTTCGAATGCTCAATACATCGAATTTTTAAAACATCGAATGATAATTTGATCGAAATTTCAAAACGTCGAATGCTCATTACATCGAATTTTCAAAACATCGAATGCTCATTTCATCGAATTTTCAAAACGTCGAATGCTCATTAGATCGAATTTTCAAAACTTTGAATGTTCATTTGATCGAATTTTCAAATCTTCGAATGTTCATTTGATCGAATTTTCAAAACGTCGAATGCTCATTTCATCGAATTTTCAAAACTTCGAATGTTCATTAGATCGAATTTTTAAAACTTCGAATGTTAAATTGATCGAATTTTCAAAACTTCGAATGCTTATTTCATCGAATTTTCAAAACGTCGAATGCTCATTTCATCGAATTTCCAGAACTTCGAATGCTCATTTCATCGAATTTCCAAAACTTCGAATGCTTATTTCATCGAATTTTTAAAACATCGAATGTTAATTAGATCGAATTTTTAAAAAGTCGAATGTTCATGTCATCGAATTTTCAAAACTTCGAATGCTCATTTCATCGAATTTCCAAAACTTCGAATGCTCATTACATCGAATTTTCAAAACTTCGAATTCTCATTAGATCGAATTTTCAAAACTTCGAATGCTCATTAGATCGAATTTTCAAATCTTCGAATGTTCATTTGATCGAATTTTTAAAACGTCGAATGCTCATTAGATCGAATTTTCAAAACTTCGAATGCTCATTTCATCGAATTTTCAAATCTTCGAATGTTCAATTGTTCGAATTTTCAAAACTTCGAATGCTCATTACATCGAATTTTCAAAACTTCGAATGTTAATTTGATAGAATTTTTAAAACTCCGAATGTTAATTTGATCGAATTTTTAAAACTTCGAATGTTCATTTTATCGAAGAGAATTTAACATCTGAGTTTACTATCTATGTAATATGTTCTTCCTAGGGAATTTTGAAAGTGCGCGAGATTTGAAATCGTTTTGGTAAGTGACAATTTTTTTTATTGAGTAAAATTTTTTTGTTTGTTTACTAATTACTTGTCAGTAAATGTTTATTTTTTTGTTATATAAGTATCACTATTATTATGATTATTTTAATTTATATTATAGTTTTTATTATAAGGTAATTAAATTAAATTGTGATTATCTATTACAATCATAGATGGCTCTAGTAATATGAATATGTGTTTTACAAATTTTTATAAATATTAATCTGTTTATAGTATAATTATTAATATTGTTATTCTTATTATTGTGTAATTGTGAATTTATTATGTATATTTAATGTAATATTGATTTATTTAGAAGTCAGTAAGATGATCGTTAAAAAAAAGTAGTGAATATTTCTTATTTGTCTAAATATTTCGCTTCTAAATGAAGAGTTCAAGTTTCTTTTATCTATTTATAATGAATGATTGAATGAATGAATTAATTAATTAATTAATTAATTAATTAATTAATGTGCATAAATTAAAATTATTTTCAAATTAAATAAAATATTGTGTATTGTTATTATTTTGTTATTTCTTTATATAGTGAATATTAAATTGCATTACTCTCTACTTTAAATAAGAAATAGATTCTATATGTAAGTAATACTTAAATTTTTATTGTAAATAAATAACAAGATTCCTACAGAAATCCGAAATTAAAATTCCATACCTTTTCCATGATTTATAGGTCAAACTTTTACGACATTCCAGTGCAATTTTAAATATAATTTCATTACTTTTGGGCTCTTCGAAAATAGTTTACTTATTGAATAGCCTCGACTCTTTGATAAAAAATTTAAAATTATCTAATATTATCAAAAATTCAAATATCCGAATTGCTTAAAATGCAACATTTTTTCCTCTTTTTTTATGGGATTTAGCTTCATTATTTTTGGGCTCTTCGAAAACAGTTTACTTATTAAATAGTCTTGACTTATTATTATTATTATTATTATTATTATTATTATTATTATTATTATTATTATTATTATTATTATTGTTATTGTTATTATAAATTCGAAATAAAATCACATTTTATATTAAACAAAATTATATTTTTATTTATAATTGTAGAACTACATACATTTTATTTTATAATCGTGAATAAATCTTTGAAACATTAAAAGTTGTTATACTTTTTTTATAAAATTTACATTACTATAAAAGTTTAGTGCGAGTGACTGAAGAAAACGGTGATTTTTAGGAATTTTTTTCAGGGAAATTATTGCATCTAATTTTTTATACAGTTTTGTACATGTATACATATTTGTATAAATAGTCAACATTTTGTAATTTTTTCAAAGAAAAATATTCTTTTTTAATTAAGAGTTATTCGCTATATAAAAAAAATCCAGTTTTCCCACTGCGCTGCAGTGATTGCGGCCTTCTGAGGGACTGAAATAAAAAAAACAAAAAGTTTATTTAAGTCGAAGATATTTGCCGTACAATGACTCTCGGATGTCAAAAAATGGGACGCATGAATATTCCCCACATTGAACTTGCAACAATTTTTGTGGTATCGAAATAAAATACTTAAAATATCTACTTATTAGAACTGCAATAATTCGAGTTTTCTTTTAAACAAATTTTTATCACAAGAAATTAGTATTTGAAAAAATATTTATTAACTACTTTTTTCATTTGACTGTATATTAATTTATAAAAATATCCATGTAGGGAAATATGAAAGAATAGAACATTTAGTTGTTCAGCGTTTTTTTTTAGTATGTATTTTAAAAAATAAAAATTTTGCTTAAATGAAATTTTAAGTGCATAAAAGTTTATTTAAAAGGATTATAACCTAAAAAATTTGTCAATTATCAGAATTTTCATTTCGTAGTATTTCTATATTATCGAATTTTTATGTAACGTAAAATATATGTAATTGAGCTATAATCTCACAGAATTTATATTTAACATAATTTTGATGTACAACTATTTATATTTAGTTGAAATTATATTTAAAATAATTTTTATTTAATCAAATTTTTATTTAACCATATCTGTAGTTAACCGAATTTTCGTATGAGTGAATTTCCAAAGTACCAAATTTATAAAACATAGAATTTTCAAAACGTCGAATTTCTAAAGGTGCTTCTATACCTCCGGTGGATTGGTCAAGCAATCGGCTCGATGAATTTTCACGGTCGGAAAATGTACTTTCATGGCGGGTATTTTTGAATAAGTAAATGTTGAAAAGGTTTTTACTTGAAAATTTATTTAAAAAAATGATTTTATCATAGAAATTCTTTTGAAATTTATGTTAAAAAACATGTTTTATTTCAAAAGTTATCAAATTTTAATTCAAAATGTTTTAATTTTCCAAAGAAGAGTAAAAAGCCTAATGTTTTTGAAATGCTAGTACAGACGGTACAGACTGTTTGTTATGAATGTACATAACCTAGCGTTGTGTTGTCGTGCTTGTGATATTATATTCTAAATTTAATGATTTTATTATTATTATATTAAATAATAATGAACAGACAACACAACGCTAGGTTATGTACATTCATAACAAACAGTCTGTACCGTCTGTACTAGCATTTCAAAAACATTAGGCTTTTTACACTTCTTTGGAAAATTAAAACATTTTGAATTAAAATTTGATAACTTTTAAAATAAAACATGTTTTTTAACATAAATTTTAAAAGAATTTCTATGATAAAATCATTTTTTTAAATAAATTTTCAAGTAAAAACCTTTTCAACATTTACTTATTCAAAAATACCCGCCATGAAAGTACATTTTCCGACCGTGAAAATTCATCGAGCCGATTGCTTGACCAATCCACCGGAGGTATAGAAGCACCTTTAAGCATTAAACTTTTAGAATGTCGAATTTTCATTTGTCCTAACTTTTTTTGCCACAAGAGTTTCCTCTCTGTAATTCTTATTGATATGGTTGATTTAAATTGTGCGGGAAATTTGAAATCATATGTTAAATCAAATTTCGCGCGCAATTTTAATCTACCTTACCGACTAACAACATAGATAGTAAACTCTATAGTGTCAAAAAGTTAGGACAGATGAAAATTCGACATTCTAAAAGTTTAATGCTTTAGAAATTCGACGTTTTGAAAATTCTATGTTTTATAAATTTGGTACTTTGGAAATTCACTCATACGAAAATTCGGTTAACTACAGATATGGTTAAATAAAAATTTGATTAAATAAAAATTATTTTAAATATAATTTCAACTAAATATAAATAGTTGTACATCAAAATTATGTTAAATATAAATTCTGTGAGATTATAGCTCAATTACATATATTTTACGTTACATAAAAATTCGATAATATAGAAATACTACGAAATGAAAATTCTGATAATTGACAAATTTTTTAGGTTATAATCCTTTTAAATAAACTTTTATGCACTTAAAATTTCATTTAAGCAAAATTTTTATTTTTTAAAATACATACTAAAAAAAAACGCTGAACAACTAAATGTTCTATTCTTTCATATTTCCCTACATGGATATTTTTATAAATTAATATACAGTCAAATGAAAAAAGTAGTTAATAAATATTTTTTCAAATACTAATTTCTTGTGATAAAAATTTGTTTAAAAGAAAACTCGAATTATTGCAGTTCTAATAAGTAGATATTTTAAGTATTTTATTTCGATACCACAAAAATTGTTGCAAGTTCAATGTGGGGAATATTCATGCGTCCCATTTTTTGACATCCGAGAGTCATTGTACGGCAAATATCTTCGACTTAAATAAACTTTTTGTTTTTTTTATTTCAGTCCCTCAGAAGGCCGCAATCACTGCAGCGCAGTGGGAAAACTGGATTTTTTTTATATAGCGAATAACTCTTAATTAAAAAAGAATATTTTTCTTTGAAAAAATTACAAAATGTTGACTATTTATACAAATATGTATACATGTACAAAACTGTATAAAAAATTAGATGCAATAATTTCCCTGAAAAAAATTCCTAAAAATCACCGTTTTCTTCAGTCACTCGCACTAAACTTTTATAGTAATGTAAATTTTATAAAAAAAGTATAACAACTTTTAATGTTTCAAAGATTTATTCACGATTATAAAATAAAATGTATGTAGTTCTACAATTATAAATAAAAATATAATTTTGTTTAATATAAAATGTGATTTTATTTCGAATTTATAATAACAATAACAATAATAATAATAATAATAATAATAATAATAATAATAATAATAATAATAATAATAATAATAATAATAATAATAATAATAATAATAATAAGTCAAGACTATTTAATAAGTAAACTGTTTTCGAAGAGCCCAAAAATAATGAAGCTAAATCCCATAAAAAAAGAGGAAAAAATGTTGCATTTTAAGCAATTCGGATATTTGAATTTTTGATAATATTAGATAATTTTAAATTTTTTATCAAAGAGTCGAGGCTATTCAATAAGTAAACTATTTTCGAAGAGCCCAAAAGTAATGAAATTATATTTAAAATTGCACTGGAATGTCGTAAAAGTTTGACCTATAAATCATGGAAAAGGTATGGAATTTTAATTTCGGATTTCTGTAGGAATCTTGTTATTTATTTACAATAAAAATTTAAGTATTACTTACATATAGAATCTATTTCTTATTTAAAGTAGAGAGTAATGCAATTTAATATTCACTATATAAAGAAATAACAAAATAATAACAATACACAATATTTTATTTAATTTGAAAATAATTTTAATTTATGCACATTAATTAATTAATTAATTAATTAATTAATTAATTCATTCATTCAATCATTCATTATAAATAGATAAAAGAAACTTGAACTCTTCATTTAGAAGCGAAATATTTAGACAAATAAGAAATATTCACTACTTTTTTTTAACGATCATCTTACTGACTTCTAAATAAATCAATATTACATTAAATATACATAATAAATTCACAATTACACAATAATAAGAATAACAATATTAATAATTATACTATAAACAGATTAATATTTATAAAAATTTGTAAAACACATATTCATATTACTAGAGCCATCTATGATTGTAATAGATAATCACAATTTAATTTAATTACCTTATAATAAAAACTATAATATAAATTAAAATAATCATAATAATAGTGATACTTATATAACAAAAAAATAAACATTTACTGACAAGTAATTAGTAAACAAACAAAAAAATTTTACTCAATAAAAAAAATTGTCACTTACCAAAACGATTTCAAATCTCGCGCACTTTCAAAATTCCCTAGGAAGAACATATTACATAGATAGTAAACTCAGATGTTAAATTCTCTTCGATAAAATGAACATTCGAAGTTTTAAAAATTCGATCAAATTAACATTCGGAGTTTTAAAAATTCTATCAAATTAACATTCGAAGTTTTGAAAATTCGATGTAATGAGCATTCGAAGTTTTGAAAATTCGAACAATTGAACATTCGAAGATTTGAAAATTCGATGAAATGAGCATTCGAAGTTTTGAAAATTCGATCTAATGAGCATTCGACGTTTTAAAAATTCGATCAAATGAACATTCGAAGATTTGAAAATTCGATCTAATGAGCATTCGAAGTTTTGAAAATTCGATCTAATGAGAATTCGAAGTTTTGAAAATTCGATGTAATGAGCATTCGAAGTTTTGGAAATTCGATGAAATGAGCATTCGAAGTTTTGAAAATTCGATGACATGAACATTCGACTTTTTAAAAATTCGATCTAATTAACATTCGATGTTTTAAAAATTCGATGAAATAAGCATTCGAAGTTTTGGAAATTCGATGAAATGAGCATTCGAAGTTCTGGAAATTCGATGAAATGAGCATTCGACGTTTTGAAAATTCGATGAAATAAGCATTCGAAGTTTTGAAAATTCGATCAATTTAACATTCGAAGTTTTAAAAATTCGATCTAATGAACATTCGAAGTTTTGAAAATTCGATGAAATGAGCATTCGACGTTTTGAAAATTCGATCAAATGAACATTCGAAGATTTGAAAATTCGATCAAATGAACATTCGAAGTTTTGAAAATTCGATCTAATGAGCATTCGACGTTTTGAAAATTCGATGAAATGAGCATTCGATGTTTTGAAAATTCGATGTAATGAGCATTCGACGTTTTGAAATTTCGATCAAATTATCATTCGATGTTTTAAAAATTCGATGTATTGAGCATTCGAAGTTTTTAAAATTCGATGTAATAAGCATTCGATGTTTTAAAAATTCGATGAAATGAGCATTCGAAGTTTTGGAAATTCGATGAAATGAGCATTCGAAGTTTTGGATATTCGACGAAATGAGCATTCGACGTTTTGAAAATTCGATAAAATAAGCATTCGAAGTTTTGAAAATTCGATCTAATGAGCATTCGATGTTTTAAAAATTCGATGAACTGAGCATTCGACGTTTTGAAAATTCGATCAAATTAACATTCGACGTTTTAAAAATTCGATCAAATTAACAATCGATGATTTAAAAATTCGATGAAATGAGCATTCGACGTTTTGAAAATTCGATGAAATAAGCATTCGAAGTTTTGAAAATTCGATCTAATGAGCATTCGACGTTTTGAAAATTCGATGTAATAAGCATTCGGAGTTTTGAAAATTCGATGTAATAAGCATTCGAAGTTTTGAAAATTCGATCAAATCAACATTCGAAGTTTTGAAAATTCGATGAAATGAGCATTCGATGTTTTAAAAATTCGATGAACTGAGCATTCGACGTTTTGAAAATTCGATCAAATTAACATTCGATGATTTAAAAATTCGATGTAATGAGCATTCGAAGTTTTGAAAATTCGATGAAATGAGCATTCGAAGTTTTGAAAATTCGATAAAATTAACATTCGACGTTTTAAAAATTCGATCAAATTAACAATCGATGATTTAAAAATTCGATGAAATGAGCATTCGACGTTTTGAAAATTCGATGAAATAAGCATTCGAAGTTTTGAAAATTCGATCAATTTAACATTCGAAGTTTTAAAAATTCGATCTAATGAACATTCGAAGTTTTGAAAATTCGATGAAATGAGCATTCGACGTTTTGAAAATTCGATCAAATGAACATTCGAAGATTTGAAAATTCGATCAAATGAACATTCGAAGATTTGAAAATTCGATGAAATGAGCATTCGACGTTTTAAAAATTCGATGTAATGTGCATTCGAAGTTTTGAAAATTCGATCAATTTAACATTCGATGTTTTAAAAATTCGATCAATTTAACATTCGATGTTTTAAAAATTCGATCTAATGAACATTCGAAGTTTTGAAAATTCGATGTGTTGAGCAATCGACGTTTTGAAAATTCGATATATTGAGCATTCGATGTTTTGAAAATTCGATGTATTGAGCATTCGATGTTTTGAAATTCGATGTAATGGATATTCGATCGATTTGATTTTTGGGAGATTTCATACGACCGTCACACTACATGTAATTGACTTTTATGACCGTTGAAAGGGGAACTACAACAAACTGCACTTACCTCATATTTTAGTTGAAATGTGACGCTTGTTTGAATATTTTTCACTTAAATTACTACTCGCGTAATTTGTTTACTTTCAAATCAAAATAATAGTGTATATTTTTCGATTGTTGTCGAAATCGAATTCTTGATATTCCCCATATTCCCCAATAATGGAAATCATGAAACAATTAAAAATTCAAATAATCCCACCATTATTGAATCAGTGCCAAACGTCGGAAACAGGAACTACAACAAGAATTCACTTCCACCACTTCCACATGTCGCTTGCTTGCATCACCCTAACCTATACAATTTTTAAAGAAAACGCCGATTTTTTTTTATACAATACAATCTGGTCTATTTTTTAAAGAAAACTTGTGTCATTTTTATTGTAAAAATAATAAATAATAGTTTATAATTATGTCTTTGAAACTCATTGCAAAGTGTAGTGATCCACCGTTAGGTAATTAATACAAATTTTAACGAATTTTTCTAACCAAATTTTCATAATTTTCTAATTTTCCCAAAATTATCTATTTTTAAATATATATACATATAATATATGCAAAGAGTACTCTTTCTTTTTCTATACGATTTTTCAAAAATAACTTTCAATAAATTAAATTATTCTTGAAAAAAAATTCGAATTTTTTTTGTTCGTAAAAAACTGTAATTTTTATTATTTTTTTCAGGTGCTTTGATAGTTAGTGAGATTGTTTCTTTGGAAAAGAAAGTTAAAATTGATGTAAATTGGACGGATGATTGGAAAGGATCTGGAAATGTACAATTATTTGATAAAGAAGGATGTTTAGTTGGAGAAACTGACAATGATGTTGCTCGCTATTTAGCGAGAACAGTAGATTTTAATTTGTATGGTAAGAAGAAAATTTGCATTTAAATACTTACATATTTTTTATTTTCACAGAGCTAGAAAATATTTTACATAGATTCTTTTTTAAATTTAATGTTAAAAATTTTATCGCTTAAGCTAAATTCCATTTAATTTTGTAATAGCAAAGTTTGACGAAATGTATATTTAATTTAACTACTTCATAAATTATAATTTATACATTTTCTATTTATTTAAAAAAACTGTTAACAAAATTTGTTTTCATTTATTAATTGATAAATTTAATATTATTTATTACAAACCTTATATACGAAACAGTCGTAAATCATTTCCTAAACGTAATTCTGTTTACATTTATTTTTATACAAAATCCTGTTTTTTCTCAAAAATGGAATAAATTTGGACCATTTATACTTTCAATCTCAATTTTTTTAATATTTTCTATTTCATAATCACACTTTTTACATAAAATCCTGTTTTTATTTTTTTTTTAAAGAAATTTTGGACCATTTATATTTCTCTTTTAAAAATAAAAGAAAATTTGTTTATAAATTCGATTTGTTATATACAATTTCTAATTGAAAAAAGAAGAAATGAATAAATTTCACGATCATTGTTAGAGTTAAGGAAAAATCTAACGGACAGTCAAAACAAAAGTTAGTCCAATATAATAATTTCGCAATTTTAAAGAAAACGATAAATTAAATTTTAAATTCGTTTTGGTGTAAAGGCGAAAAATTTCATTTTGAACATTTAAAACGATTGAAAGTTGCATTTGAATAAAAATTATAATTTTTTGCTAATAAGAAACATTTGTTAAATTTTAGATTATATTAATTAAATCATTTATTATTGATAAAAAATTATTATTTTTATTTAAATATAACTTTAAATTATTCTGGGAATTGGTCAGGGAAAAATAAGGGATTTTTATTAACTGGAAAAAATTAAATGGTTAGAATTTATAAGAAAATTCTGATTTTTTGTGTCTTTTTTTTGCCTTAAACATGAAATTACCACAAATTCTATAAAAACCTTCAATGTCTTTCTATTTCTGACAATAATTTCCTTCAAAATAACTTAATTCTTGAACAACTGCTATAAAGTTATTTACTTATAAATTATTTAGGTAATGAAGTATTTTTTTTTTGAAACAATTTAATTTTAATTCTGTTAAAATTAGTATTTTAACCGAATTCTTTGAAAAAATTAAACTATCTTAGTAAATATCAAAATTTTTTCCAAAAATTCAATTATTTTCAAAAATTAAAAAAAATTCTCATCTTAAGAATTCAATTATTTTCAAAATTAATAAAATTCTTCGCAGAAACTTAATTATTTTCAAAAAATCTAAAAAAAAAATTGTTGTCAACATTTCAATTATCTTTATAAATAAATAGCAAAATTTTTCGACAAAATTCAATTATTTTCAGGAATTTTAATAAAATTCATTGCAAAATTCAATTATTTTCATAATAATAAATAATAATCACGAATAATAATATTTATCATCATAAGAATTCAATTATTTTCAAAAATAAATTCAATGTTTTTGAATATTCTATTATTTTGATAAAATTTCCAAAAGAATTCAATTATTTTTCGAAAAATATCAATATTGTTTGAAACTTTTTTATAATATTCTTCGCAATTATTATTCAATTATCTTTATAAATAATAAAACTTATTGCAGAATTTCAATTATTTTTTAATACAATTTTAATCAGATTTCTTGAAAAATGTAATTATTTTTAAAAATTTTATTAAAATTCGTTAAAAGAATTGAATTATTAAAAATTTGTTGATAAAATTATGTATAAGATTACAATTTTAAGAAATATTCAATTATTCTATAATAAATTATCTATGTTTGCATTTAAATAATTGAATTCTCATAGAATTGCAACTAATAATTGCAATTTTTACAAATAATTGAATTTTCAGGCCTCGGATATTGGACTTTTTTCGACTATTTTCAAAAATTACGACTTTTTCAACTTTTCTTTCGAATATTGCAATAATTTTTAGTATAAAATGCAACTTATTTTCGAAATTTACAATTGAAAAGAGTTTCAATAAATATTGAAATTTTGTAAAATTTAGGTAATTATTGAAAATAATAAATTTTTTCCAAGTATTTTGTTAGAATTTTTGAAAATCAACATTTGAAGAATTTGAATTGCAAATTTTGAAAATAATTGAAATTAAATTCATCGGAAGAATTTAATTTTTAAAACAATTTTTAATATATTAATATATATAAGAAGTTATCAATCCTCCAAGTCAATCATTCTTCAATATTCTTATATATATTAATATAATTTCACCAAGTGATAAATTCAATAATATTAAATTTTTAATATATTTCGAATAAATTCAATTATTTTCTAAAATCTTAATAAATCCTTCGAAACAATTCAATTATTTTTATAAATGGTAAAATTCTTCGCAAGAATTCAATTATTTTTATAAATATAGTAAAATTCTTTGCAGGAATTCAATTACTTTCTAAAATGTTAATAATTTCTTCGAAACAATTCAACTATTTTTATAAATTACTTTAAATAAATTTTCAAAATTTACAATAAAAAAGAGTTTCAATAATTGAAATTTTGTAAAATTTTATTGAAAATAATTGATTTTTTTCAAAATTTTTGAAAATAAACTTTAAAAGAATTTTAATTGCAAATTTTGAAAATAGTTGATTTCTCAGAAATTTTAATGAAAAATCTTGAAGTGTAAATTTAAAAATGGTAATTAATGAAAATTAGCTTCAAAAAAATTATATTAAAATATTTTTGAAAATAATAATTCTTAGAATTTTTTGCATTCTAATTTTTTCAAAATTCAATTATTTTCAATATTTTCAAATACAAATTTCCAAAAATTCAAATACATACAAAAAATAATAACATTAAAATTTTTTACAATTATTTTTAACATTTTAACAAAACATGACTTTTTTAGATTTAGGTACATATTAAATTTTTGGAGAAATCACGTTTATATTAATAATTAAAATTCTTTAAAAATTCAATTATTTTTTTAATAGAATTTACCAAATTCCAATTGTTTGGAAATTTTGCCATCCTATATAATTGAAAAACTATTATCTTTCATAAATTATTTTAAAAATATTTTTTAAAAATTAATTTTAAGAATTTCTTTATTAAAATTTTTTGAAAATTAATTAATAACTTAAAAAACATGGACAGTTAGAATCATTATAAAGAACTGAATTTTTGTATTTAAATAATAAATTTGCTTATATTGTGGCCTTAAGGTCACAATATAAACAGATTTATTTGACGAAAATTAAGGTCCTGAAAACATTGTAAGTTGTATTTAATTAATTGAATTCTTTAAGAAGTTTAGGAAAATATTATTAAAAATAATTGATTTCGAAAAGAAGTAGAAAAATAGAAAATAATTGAATTTTAAGAAAATTAAAGTTGTAAGTTTTAGAAGTTATTAAATTTGAGAAGGATTTAAATAGAAATTTTTTGAATTTTATTCCCGTATAAAAAACATGCAAGAAGTATTTAAATATTTATTTAACGAAATTATTCAAGTTTTAAATAATTAAATTTAGAAATCAGTGAAAGATCAGAAAAATAAAAAATAAAAGTTTTGAGACGACACTGAAGTAAATAAACGACTTTTTCGACTTTTTTTCTATTTTAAATTGACTAAAGCGACTTTTTTTTGCACCTTAAAGTCGATCCAAGGCCTGCATTGTACTAACTTTTGTTTTTGATTATTCGTTGGATTCGTCCTTAATTAGTAAAATATTTAGCGATTATTATTTCTGCCATAAAAACAAGTATTGAAAGACTGTGTCCAATTAAAATAATAAAAATACATTTTTCATTAACACTTTCCTCAGTTTCCGGCTCCTTTTCACGTTCATAAATACTTGTCATTGTGAGTTGTTGTCTCCATTTATTATTCTCCGACTTCCACAAACCAGTTTCCAAAATTCTCATTATTAATTCATTGAATTTTCCAACGAACGGCGAACCAGGTGCCATTTTTAGTGTCTTGATAGATCGTCGAAATAGTTCCTTAACAATTTTCATTTTTGGTCTCGAATATTTGCTCATTTGTTTTTGAATTTCAATTTTGGCCACAATTTCAGGATAAATACAGGTCACATTCTGATGTTCGACCAACATTGTCATGCAGTCACGTATTATCACCGATTTACTAAGCAACCAGAGTTCATCATCACTAGCGCCTATTTTTGCATTCTCTCTCTCGACATAACTATGAAATGCAAATATTAATTCTGATTTTCTGATATCGTTGATTGTTAGAAAATCCATTTCCTTTTGGAATGGAATAAGCATTTGTGTCATTTCGAGAAAAAACCAGGAGGAATACATCATCCATGCGAAGAATAAAAAGACAAATACAATTTTCTCACGAAACTTCTTTGGCAATGTTGTGGAAAGACCGAGAATTAATTGTATAATGTAGATCGGTTGGGAAAAGTCTTCACTGAATCTAAATATTCTCGTTACAATCCAAACTGAGAATATTAAAACAATCATGAAAATCGTTGCCCAGAGGAAATTTAACGAAACCTTGAAACCATTTTCCCTCATTAAAATTGGTACAACCGCCACTAATTCCGAAAGTTCGATAAAATTGCTCGTTTCAATAGCTCTCGTTTCATTTGCACCCAATGCTGTTCGTAGAAATCGCAAAAAATCATATTCACCTTTTACCAAATGTTCCATTGTTTCATTTTTTCTCCCCCTACATTCTGCTATCGAAAAATTTAGAGCATTGGAAATAATTCTTATTGCCGTTCTTGAATCCGGTCGAGCGTTTATTTTTCTTTGAAGCATTGAATTTAATTCGCCAACTTTTAATTGATAACCATGTAAATTTGTCAATTTATCCGGAAATAGATTCACGCTCGAGGAGAATTTTCTTTTCCCAAAAATTTCGTTGAATTGATTGAAAGTAAAGAGTGTTGTATTTTCCACTAAATATGCCTCAAGATTTATGGGGCGAATTTTTTTCTTAACAATCCGAAGAATACTGAAATTAATAAATTTCTTTTGCCACTGTTCTTGAAATAATTGTCTGTAAATTTTTTCATTCAAATATTCCGTGTCAATGTGAATTAATAGACATTTTGGTCGTGTTCGTGAGCCTGTTAAATTTTTCTCTATAAAATCGAATGCAATTTTAAATTTTGATTGCCAATGTTTTGTATTTGTATTATTGTGAGTTTGTTGAATTAATAGAAATAGTGTTGTTGGTGCGGGATTTTTTAGTAAAATTGTCTCAGTTAGAAAATTGTTGTCCAATATTTCGATATCAACTGTCCAGGTTGCAATTCTTCTTCCAATTTCTTTAATTACATCATTGTTTTCCGTTTCTTTGGTGAAAATCACAACTTGATGGGGTTTAATTTTATTTTCGATGTTGGATGATAATTGCTGTAGCCAATTTTCATTTTTACAATGAACGCAGCTTATGATTATAATTATGAGGAAGTGAAAAAGTGACATGACTTTTAGCATTGCCAGCAAGAGACTAAAAAATAGTAGCAGAAAATAAGTCTTTTTTTCGATTCATTTGTTTGTACTTCAATAGGACATTAAGTGGAACGCTATAAGTGAAAATAGTTTACTAAAAATGTGTTTATTTATTTCCCCTAAAAGTAAAAATAAAATATGTGGGTCAAAATTGTTTTTATTCGAAATACAATTTCTTTCGAAATGCTTTAATTTTATTTTCTTAATTAATTACATAATTTGTTAATTAAGATTCAAAATTTATTTATATTTAATTATTATATAAATATGATTGTTTATAAAAATTAATTAAATAATAGAAATAAAAAAGAATATAATATCTCAAGTAAAAAGTGTCGAGGAAAATCAATTTTTTTGTACGATGTTTATACAATAGTTAAATATTGAAACTGGTTTATTTTTATTTGAGTTAAAAAAGAAGTTAACTTCCTGAATATTTTATTTTTAACTTTCTCCTTTATTTATAGTAAAATTATATTTTTAATAAATTTCTGTCAAATATAATTATAATTATTTATTATTATTGCATACAATTACATAAAATTATATTTAATTATTATATTGAGTGTAATTATTATAATTATTCAAAATTCTGAAAACGAAAGCCACAGATCTGGGAAATCAGGGAATTAGGGAAAATTCATCAAAAGTACTAGAAAATATTAACAAAATTTCATTTTTCTTGGACTTTTTTTGTTTTTCTTGTAAATTTTACAGGACTCGGATATTATGACTTTTTTCGAAAATTTTAGAATATTTGAAATTTTGAATTTTTTCTATGAACTTTTGACGAATTTTAATTGCAAATTTTTAAAATAATTAAATTCTCAAAAATTTTAAGGAAAATCTTCAAGTGTAAATTTAAAAATGAAAATTTGGTTCTAAAAATTATATTAAAATATATTTTAGAAAAAAAAAATTCTTAGAATTTTTCCATTCTCATTTTTTAGAATTATTTTTAACATTTTGGAGAACACAATTATGTTAAAAATTTGTAATTAAAATGTTTCAAAAAAATTTATTATTTTTCTATAATTTACAGAAATTTTTTTAAGAAATTAAATTATTTTCAAAAAATTACAGTACAATATTTTTAAAAAACTAATTTTTAGACTTGTTTTATCATAATTTTTTAACATAATTAATTATCTTCGAACAAAGTGAATTAAAATTCTTAAAAATTTAATTTTATAGACTTAATAAAATTTTGGAAAAAACATTATTTGTTTATATATTATTTTATAATTAAAATTCTTTAAAAATTGTATTATTTTTTTTCATATTTTTCAAAAATTCTTTTATTTTTAAAAGTATTTATCACAATTATTTTAAATAGATTTTATCAAATTTCAATATTATTTGGAAATTTTTCAATTGTACATTTAATTAAAATAATATCTTTCAAAAATTATTTTAAAAAATTAGTTTTATGAATTTTTTTATTACAATTTTTAATAACTTTTTATAATAAACAATTATGAAAAAAAATTGAATTTTTGTATTTATATATAAGTCATTTAGAGGTGAAATTCAGTTAAAAATTGTAGAAAATAATTGAGTTTTTGAAGGACTATAGTTGTAAATTTTAGAAAGTATTCAGAAGGTTTTAAATTGAAATTTAAAAAATAATTTAAAAAATTAAAATCCTGTAGAAAAACGATTAAGAAGTATTTAAATATTTATTTAACAAAATTATTTAAGTTTTGAATTATTGAATTCAGAAACGAGTGAAAGGTGAGGAAAATAAAAAATAGAATTTTTGTGACAACACTGAATTAAATAAAACGACTTTTTTTCGACTTTTTTTGTATTTTTAAATTTTAATCAACTAAAGCGACATTTTTTGCGCCTTAAAGTTGATCCGAGGTCTGATTTTAAAATCACCAGGAATTAATACTTTATTACTTATAAATTATTTAGAGAATAATTTTACTTAAAAATTTAAAAAATAATTGAATTTTATAAGTTGCATTTTTTGAAAGTATTCAAATTGAAATTTTAGGAACTTTGTATTTTACATTATTCTACTTAAAAATTCCAAATGTAATTGAATTACAAAAGGTTTTAATTTAAAATTTCAGAAAATTTAAATTTTAAATAATTTTAATTACAAATTCTTAAAAAAATTTGTTTTTTTGAAAAATAGTTATTCAAATTTTGTTAAAATTAATTGAATGTAATAATTGAAATTTCGTAAAATTGAATTTCATACAAATGGATTTCAGAATTGTTTTCGGTGAACTTTCTTTTGTGTTTGAATAATTAGTTGAATTCGCAAAGAACTTTCTCAAGAAATTATTAAAAATAATTGATTTACTGAAGAATTTTAGTTAAAAATTTAAAAAATAATTGAATTTTATGAGTTGCCTTTACAATGTTTATAAATAATTGAACTTCAAAAGGTTTCAATTTCAAATTTTAGAAAACTGAAGTTTTAAATAATTTTAATTTCAAATTCTCAAGAAGTTACATAGTTTTTTTGAAAAATTTCTATTCAAATTTTATTGAAATCAGTTAAATTTGTAAGTATATTTTTAATTAAAAAATTTTCAATAATTGAAATCTCGTAAAATTGAATTGTAAGCAAATAAATTTGAAAATTATTTTAAGTGAATTTTCTTTTTTTTTTTGAACAATTGAATTCTTAAAGAACTTTCAGAAAAATTATGAAAAATACTTGATTTACAGAAAAATTTTAGTTCAAACTTTCAAACATAATTGAATTTCAAAAGGATTTAAATTGAAATTTTAGTAAACTTCAATTTTATATAATTTTAATTTTAAATTCCTAAGAAGTTACTTTTAAGAAAATCTATATTAATAATCGTTGTATTCCGGTAATCTGTTCGCAGTTCAAAGTTAGTTGTTTGCTCTTTTGTTCCCTAACTTTTTAAATAATTTTCCTTTTTAAATGTTCTGAAAATCATTGACTTCTTCCAAGTATTTATCAAAAAATTTGAAAATAATTCAATTCTTGGCAAGATTTTTATTAAAATTTTTAAAAATAATTGAATTTTTTTGAAGAATTTATTTCAATATTCTGGAAAATAGTGGAATTTCATTAAAATAATTTTTAATAAAAATTTTGAAAGTAATTGAATTTTATGTTAATAATACAATTATTTTCAATAATTGTGAGAAAATTCTTGGCAAAAAGTCAATTTATAAATAATAAAAATCTTCGTAAAAAAATTCAATTCTTTTTATATGATTAATAAAATTATTATCAAGATTTCACTTATTTTTAACAAAATTTTAATTAATTTTTTCGAAAATTTCAATTATTTTTAAAAATTTTGTTAAAATTCTTCGAGAAAATTCAAATATTTAAATTTTTAATTGAATTTTTCACAGAAGTTCAATTATTTAAAAAAATTTTAATAAAATTCAACTATTTTCATAAATAATAAAATTTTTGCTGCAATTCAATTATTTTAAATACAATTTTACAAGAATTTTATCAACATTTTTTCAAATAAAACTGAATTCTTTCTAGAAAATATAATTCAAATATTGTATTGAAAATAATTTCATTCTTGGAAAGATTTTTATTAAAATTCTTTAAAATTATATGGAAAATAATTGACTTCTTCCGAAACATTTCATTATTTATGAAAATAATTAAATTCCTTTTAATAATTTTATTATTTATAAAAATATTTTAATTCTTGCGAAGAATTTTCTTATTAATATAATGAAAATAATTGAATTCTTGCGAAGAATTGTTTAATTTATAGAAATAATTGAATTGTTTCGCAGAATTTTATCTGAATTATTAAAGGAATTTTATTAAAAATTTTTTAAATAATTATTTTTTTCAAAAGAATTTTATCAAAATTGTTGAAAATAATTGAATTTATAATAAAATTTTTGAAAACTATTGATTTTAATTAATAATTCACTTAATAAGTGAATTTTTTAAACTTTAAATCTGTAATAATTGAAAAATTGATTTTTATTCTTGAAAATATAACATTTTTTAATTTACAAAATTTGCTAGTAATAATAATAATAATAATAATTGTTAGTAATAGTAGAGATAAAAATTATAGCAATAGTATTAATTATAATTTTAATAATAGCAATGAATGTTTTCTTATTTGTCTGTTAAAGAATTTTTTTGTTTCTAAAATAGAAAAAATTTTCAAATTATTTTTTGAATGCTTTTATTATAATATTTTTAATTTATAAATGTTGAAGAAAATTATTATAATGAACTTTTTAAAGAGGAAATGAAATGAAATAATTAAATCGAAAAACGATAATAATTTCAGGAAATGATGATCCATTGGATAGAACTGAAGTAGATCATTGGCTTTCATTTGCAATTGGACCACTTCGTGGAACTCAAAAGTTAAATGAATCTCTGGATTATTTGGATAATTTGCTAATGCCAAGAACATGGTTGGCTGCAAAACGATTGACAATTGCTGATATTTGTGTATTTTCTGCTCTTTCATTGGAAGAGGAATTAGTTTCAAGTGGAAAATATCCAAATATTGCGAGATGGTATAAACATATTCTTTCTCTTTCTGCTTCTAAGACAGCAATGGAGATGGTTGCAAAAAATAGAAAAACTTCTGCTACAAAAGTTGTTAGTAAGCCCCGTGGAAAACCAAGTGAAAAGGAAAATAAAGGACAACAGAATTCCAATGCGAGAAAACAGGAGGGTAAATTTATTGAACTTCCTGGCGCTGAGATGGGAAAAGTGAGTCTTTCATTAAAACTTTCTTTATGGAAAATTTAAAAGAAGTTAATTAAAATAAAATAAATCTAAAGCTAATAAAAAATTAATTTAACATTTTTATTTACTTTTCATTTATACAATTTTTTATGGATTTAAAATGTTTCTATATGACTGTTCATTATTATTTTTCAGGTCGTGGTTCGATTTCCACCCGAAGCCAGTGGATATTTACACATTGGCCACGCAAAAGCTGCGCTTTTAAATCAATATTACGCTGAAAATTTCAAGGGTCAATTAATTATGCGTTTCGACGATACAAATCCAGCAAAAGAAAATGTTGAATTTGAAAAGGCAATTCTTGAAGATTTAAAAATGCTTCGAATACAGCCCGATCGTTTCACTCACACATCGGATTATTTTGACCTTATGCTGAAATATTGTGATCAACTGTTGAAGGAAAATAAGGCATTCGTTGATAATACTCCTGCTCAGGAAATGAAAGATCAACGTGAACAAAAATTACCATCGACTAACAGAGATAATTGTAAGTCCTTTTTCGAAATTAATTTTTGCATTTTTTGTTTAACAAGTTTTAAATTTAATTTAAGGTGACTTTCTGGTCAAGGATTTCAAAAAAATCGGTTTTTCTTTTTTTGCTTTAAAATGTTCCTTAGTATCATAAAAATACTGTCCCTTTTGGAAGATGTCACCTAAACTTGCGAAAATGAACTAAAAATACTCAAAACCATTTTTTTAATTCTCTTCTTGTAATTTGTAACAAAATCTAAAAGAAATTTTTGCAATAACTATAAATATAATATATTTTTTACAATAAGAGTTTAAAAAATTGTGTTTTTTCTGACAATTCTGTACCTGAAAGTACCCTTATAGAATTTATGAACTAATTTTTTTCAAGAATTTGTTTCTTTATTGTGACTAGAATAGTCAAAACTTTTTAAATTTTATTTTTCCACTTTCAGCGGTTGAGAAAAACATGAAGTTATGGGAGGAGATGAAGAAAGGCACAGCTAAAGGTTTAGAATGCTGCGTAAGAGCGAAAATCGATTATCAATCTGCAAATGGTTGTTTACGGGATCCAACAATCTACAGATGTAAACCAGAGTCACATCCACGTACCGGCAATAAATACAAGTAATTTTTTACTATAATATTTTATTTTCATTCAATTTTTATTTATTTAATTACAATATTTTACTATGTACTAAAATTAATTATTAATTGGATGACAATAGAGCAATTCCTCGCCAAGTGATCATAAGAATTTTCGACGATTTTAGCAATATTATAAATACTTTCTGAATTTGTTCCTTTATATACATGGAATAAAAATGTATAAAAGTTTTTTCAAAATTCTTACTCAAAATTTTGGTCGGTTTTTCAAAAAATGCACATAACTTTTTTTCTTATTAACCGATGAAGATAATTTTTTTTGAAAAATACTCATAATAAGAAGTACTTTAAAGAAAAATGAAATGTTAAAACAGTTTTTAATTAATTTATTTTTTATCAATCAAACATTATTTTAATAGGTTTTTTGATTAATTTTCTTAATCAATAAAACTAAAAAAATATATTTTACGATCTTATGATTTTTTTAATCATAATCAGGGAAAAGTCAGGGATTTTTATTAAAAGTACTGGAAAAAATTTAATTTGTAGAATTCATAAGAAAACTCTGGAATTTTTGTGTCTTTTTTCTTTGCCCCATAAACTATGAAACTACCACGAATTTTAATACAAAAACATCAACATTTTTTTCTAATTCTGACCAGAATGAATTTTTTAATATTATTTAATTATTTCAAAAGTTTTAATGCAATTATCTTAATAAATAACAAAATTCTTTACAAAAATTTAATTATATTTAAGAATTTTAAAAAAATTATTTACAAAATTCGATTATTTTCATAAATAACAACATTCATCACAAGAATTCAATTATGTTGAAAAATTAAAAAAAATTCTCGTCAAAATTTCAATTAATCTTAATAAATAATAAAATTCTTCACCTGAATTTAATTATTTTAGAAATTTTAATAAAATTCTTGGCAAAATTTTAATTATTTTCAAAAGTTTTTCGCAATTCAATGATTTTCAATATTTACTATTTTCATAAAATTTACCAAATAATTTAATTATTGAAAAAAGATTTTGTTACAATTCTACGTGAACATTCAATTATTTTCATCGCAAAATTTCCAATATTTTTAATACAATTTTAAATATATTTGAGATTTAAATAAATTCAAATTTAAGAAACATTCCATTATTCAATAAAATAATAAAATTCGTTGCAATCATTCAATTATTTTCATAAATAACTTTTCATTCGTCACAGAAATTTAATTATTTTCAGAAATTTTTAAGTAATTCTGCAAAAGAATTCAATTATCTTGATAAACAACAAACTTTTCCACATAAAATCAATTATTTTAAGGAATTTTAATAAAATTCTTTTCCAAAATTCAATTATTTCGATACATACTATATCAAAATTTATCATAAGAATTCAATTCTTTTGAAAACTAATTAAATACTTTTCGAAAATAAAAGTATTTTCAAATTTTTTTAAAAATTCCCGTTAAAAATTAAATTACTTTTTTTATAAATAAATAATTAGCGAAAATCTTCTCAAGGATTAAATTATTGTCAAAAATTTTAATAATATTCTTGGCAAAATTTCAATTATTTAAACGAAATTTAATCAAAATTCTTCACATAAATTCAATTATTTTCATAAATTATTATTTAAATTCTTTTCAGGAATTTAATTGTTTTAAAAAATGTTAATAAAATTCAAAAAGTTTTTAATTATTTTCAAAAATTGTTATAAAATTCTTTAATATGATAAATTTCAGTAAAATTTTAATTAAATTCCTTAAAAGAAATTAATTATTTTCAAAAGTTGTTAATAAAATTCTTTGTTAAAATTAAATTGTAAGAAACATTCAATTATTATAGAAAAATTTTTTTATTTTTGTATTTAAATAATTGAATTCTCATAGAATTTTCTAATAAAAATTGATTTAAAAATGAATAATTTCAGTTAAAGTTTTAGATAATAATTAATAATAGGTATTAAGAGCATTAGGGGGGAATATTTAGAAATAATTGAATTTTGAAAAGGTTTCGAATTCAAATCTTTGTAAAATAAGTTATTGAATTTCAAAACATTTTGAATTTATAATTTTTGAAAATCTTAACTCCTATGGAAAAATAACTATGATTAAATTTATTTAAAAAAGAAGTTGTTGATGTTTTTGAATAACTTTACAATGAAAGAAATTCGTAAATAAATTTATTGGACCTTTTTTTCAGACTCTAATCATTTTTAGAGTGAATCAGAATATTCTTTTCTGGTCCGGGAAAAAGTTAAAATTTTGTCTGGAAATCAAGAAAAAGTCAGGGAAAAACGAAACTAAATTTTTGTGGCAACCTTGATTTTGTTATTTACGACAATAATTAAATTTTTGCGAAGAATTTTATTATTTATGAAGATAATTGAATTTTTTTCAAGAATGTTATTAAAATTTTAGAAAATAATTGAATTTCTGCGAAGAATTACTTTAAAATTTTTAAAAATAATTGAATCTAATTGAGAAATTTCATTAAAATTGTACTAAAAATATTGGAATGTTTTGCGAAGAATTTTATTGAAATTTTTTTATAATAATTGAATTCCTGTTAAGAATTTTGCCATTTGTAAATATAATTGAATTTTTGACAAGAATGTTATTAAAATTTTAAAACATAATTAAATTCCTGCGGAAATTTTTGTTATTTACGAAAATAATTAAATTTTTGCGAAGAATTTATGAAGATAATTGAATTTTTGACAAGAAATGTTATTAAAATTTTAAAACATAATTGAATTCCTGCGAAGAATTTTGTTATTTATAAAATAATTGAATTCTTGCGAAGAATTTTATTAAAACGTTTGAATATAAATAATATAATAATTAATTAGTTTATTGGTATTTTTTTAAAAATATAAATTATAAATTTCAGAGCTCGGTAAAATGGTTTTTCAAACCCCTTTAAAATGTCATTTTGAATAGTTTTTTTCACTTGAAATGGCATTTCAAAAACCAGTTTATCCAGATATGTTAAATTTATTATTATAATAATTTTTTTAGCACGTTTTTGGCACCTAATTTAAAAAAAACAATTTACCTTTTCACGTATTTGAAGGAAAATAGATACTGTGAACCCTGATATTGTACTTTTCTGGTTTTACTAATATAGAATTTTCATTTTGTATATATAAAACTTTTCTCAAAGTTATTTTCTATTGTTGACGATTTTCTCACATTTGCCGATTTAATAAATGTGTGTTTTATTTTCTTAGGGTTTATCCTACCTACGATTTCGCCTGTCCAATTGTCGATGCTGTTGAGAATGTCACACATACATTACGCACAACTGAATATCACGATCGCGACGATCAATTCTATTGGTTTATTGAGGCACTGGGTTTAGATCGTCCTTACATTTGGTCTTATTCGCGACTTAATATGACAAACACCGTTTTGTCGAAGAGAAAATTAACCTGGTTTGTCGCTGAGGGTTTAGTTGATGGCTGGGACGATCCTCGATTTCCAACAGTTCGCGGTATTCTCCGTCGGGGAATGACAGTCGATGGCTTGAAACAATTTATCATTGCACAAGGAAGCTCGAGATCTGTTGTTTTTATGGAATGGGACAAAATATGGTCGTTCAATAAAAAAGTTCTCGATCCCATTGCCGTCAGGTATGAAAAACTTTCTCAATTTTCTCCAATTATATAAAAGTAGAAATTAAATGTTTTTGTATATTTTTATATATTGAAATTTTAATTCTTAATTATATTTTTCTCATTTCTTATTTTATGTAACTTGGTCATGAATTTTGAATCAATTTTAAACTTTTAGTATTTGATTTACACAATTCAATTGTAATTAAGTCTGAAGTTCGCAACGTTTTTAAAAACAAAAATAAAATAATGCGACAATTTTTTTTTACTTTAGCTTCAAATTTATGTTATTTTTGAACAATCGTCTTTTTAGTAGGTAACAATTTATTAAGAATTTATGCACGTGGAAATTAGAGATGAATTTAACTTGAGAAAAAATTTCTTTTTTGAGTTTTCGTTTTTTAAAACGTTGCGGACTTAAGTCTCAAAAATTGCAAATCTTGTGTTTGGTAAAATAAATCGATGAATTTTTTTGCAGATATACCGCATTAAATGCTGGTGAGCTTGTAAAAGTGACTGTGAATGGTGCTAAAAATGAATCTATAACTGTTCAAAATCATCCAAAGGACCCGTCGATTGGCACAAAACAAGTTCGAGTTGGTCCAAATGTTCTTATTGAAAAAGTTGACGCCGAAACATTAGTAGAGGGACAAAATGCGACGTTCATCAACTGGGGTAATCTTTTGATAAAAAAAGTGAAAAAAGAAAATGGAGTCGTTGTGGGTGTTGAAGCAGCACTCAATTTGGAAAATAAAGACTTCAAAAATACGGTGAAACTTACTTGGATTGCACAAGATTCTGCTAAAAGTGGTAGTCAATTCGATTCAAGTTTAGTGCCATGCTACGCTGTTTATTTCGATCATATCATCAGTAAACCCGTCTTGGGCAAGGATGAGGACTTTAAAAATTATATTGCCAAGGATACAAGGGTAAATTTGTCAAAATTTTATTTTTAATTGATAGTAAAATATTAATCTTAACACAAAATATTCATTACTTCATAACAATAACAATAAATCGATTTACGGACCGTAAAGGTCCGTAAATTAAAATAAAGTCCGTAAAAGACAGTTTTTTTTAAAAAAGGTCCGTAAAGTCCGTAATTTGATTGAAAATGCAAAAAAGTTCGTAAATTTACTCGAATTTAACGATATAATTTGGAGAATTTCAGAGAAATTGCAAATGATTGCCACAGAAATTCAATTATTTTCAAAAGTAATAAAATTCTTCGCAGAAATTCAATTACATGTTCAAAATTTTTTAAAAATTCTCGTCGAAATTTCAATTATTTTTAGAAATAATTAAATTGATCTCCGAAATTCAATTATTTTCAAAAATTTTGATAAATAAAGTTCTTGGCAAAATTTTAATTATTTTCAAAAATTTTCCTCAATTTAATGATTTTTAATATCTAGGTACTATTTTAATAAAATTTTCCAAAAGAATTAAATTATTTAAAAAAAATTTAATAAAATTTTCCAAAAGAATTAAATTATTTGAAAAAAATTTAATACAATTCTACTCAAACCTTTAATTATTTTCATAAAATAGTAAAAATTTCACAGGAATTCAATTATTTACAAATTTTTTATAAATTTACTCGCAATCATTCAATTATTTTCATAAATTTTAATGAAATTCTTTGTAGAAATTCCATATTTTTCAAAATAATTTTAATGAAATTCTTCGTAGAAAATGAATTAATTTCAAAAATTTGTCAAAATTTAGTTACCTATTTTCAATGTCTAATATTTCAATAAAATTTCACAAAAGAATTCAATTATTTAAAAATAAATTTTAATAAAATTCATCTCAAGAATTCAATTATTTTCAAAAGTTAAAAAATTCTTCACAGAAATTCAATTATGTTGAAAAATTAAAAAAAAAATTCTCGTCAAAATTTCAATTATCTTAATAAATAATAAAATTCTTCACCTGAATTCAATTATTTTAGAAATTTTAATAAAATTCTTGGCAAAATTTAAATTATTTTCATAAGTACTAAAATTCTTCGGAACAATTCAATTCTTTTTAATACAATTTTAATAAAAATTTTTAAAAGAATACAAATATTTTTAAAAATGTTAATTAAATTCGATTATTTTCAAGAATTTCAATAAAAATTCAATTTATTTCAATAATTCTGATAAAAATCTTTAGAAAAATCCAATTATTTTTATAAATTGTAAAATTCTTTACAAAATTGCATTTATTTTTATAAATAAGAAAAATCTTTTCAGGAATTCAATTATTTTCATAAATAATCATTTCAATTATTTTTAATACAATTTTAATCGAATTCCTCGAAAAATTTTAATAAAATCTTAAAAATTTTATTAAAATTCGTCAAAAGAATTCATTTATTTAAAAATATATTGATACAACTTTTAATTGAGAGTTCAATTTTAAGAAACATGAAATTATTCAATAAATTATTTTTGTTGTATTTAAATAATTGAATTCTAGTAGAATTTTCTAATAAAAATTGATTTAAAAGTGGATTTCAGTTAAAATTTTAGATTATAATTGAATATTGAGAGCATTAGAGCGTAAATTTTTTTAAGTAATTGGATTTTGAAATGGTTTCAAATTAAAATTTATGAAAATTTGAATTTTTTATATTTTAAATTAAAAATTCTATGGAACTAATTTTTTTCAAAAAACTTAAACGAAATTTTTTAAAATTATTTCAAATTTTTATTTTCTAATGTATATTTAATTGAAGAATTTCCAAATAATCGAAATTTTGTAAAATTGAATTTTGTAAACAAATGAATTTGAAAATTCTCAAAGAACTTTTTCAAAAATTATTAAAAATAATGCATTTATAGAAGAATTTTAGTTAAAAACACGAAGAAAAAATTAATTTTGGAAAAGTTACAAATTATTGCAGAAATTCAATTATTTCCAAGAGTAATAATATTCTTTTCAAAAATTAAAAATAATAGAATTCTTCTTAGGAATTTAATTATTTTTACAAATAATAAAACTTATCACAGAATTTCTATCATTTTCAATACAATTTTAATCGAATTTTTCGAAAAATGTAATTATTCTTAAAAATTTTATTATAATTCGTCAAAAGAATTTGATTATTTAAAAATTTGTTGATAAATTTCTTTATGGGAATTGAATTTTAAGAAACATTCAATTATTCAATAAATTATTTATTTTTGTATTTAAATAATTGAATTCTAGTAGAATTTTCTATTAAATATTGAATTAAAAAAAATTAATTTCAGTTAAAAAAATTAGATAATAATTGAATATTAAAAACAATATAGCGTGAATTTTAAGAAATAATTGAATTTGGAAATTAATATTTTTGAAAAAGTTTAATTGAATTTTTCTTTATTATTTTAAGTTTTTATTTGAAGAATAAAAGAATTGAAGAATTTCGTAAAATTGAATATTGTAAAGAAATGGATTTGAAAATTGTCAAAGAACTTTTTCGAAAATTATTAAAAACAATTGATTAAAAGATAAGAATTTTAGTTAAACATTCTTGAAAATAATAATTGAATTGATAATGATTTTATCATTCGGTTTATAGTTTTAAGTAAAATGTTGTTTTATTTGACTTGGACTGGTTATATTTTTGTCAGTAATTGGTCCGCAATTTTTAATTTTTGATCCGTAAAGTCCGTATTTTTAAATACTTTCACTGGTTTGAGCCCTGATTATATATAATATTTATCATTTATAGTTTTATAATTATAATAAATCATCAAGAAGAATAAAAATTAATTTTTAGTGTTTTAGGGATAAAGAAATATTTTTTTCATTTTTAGAAAGAAGTTGAGATGATGGGAGAAACTGAGATGAAGAGGATAAAGCAAGGAGAAATTATTCAAATTCAAAGGAAAGGATTTTTCCGTTGTGATGTTCCATATTCACCAATTAACGCCCACTCATCTCGTGAACAACCTTTAATTTTATTCCATGTTCCCGATGGACACACAACAACTCCAATTACTCAAACTACAAATAATCAAAGCGAAAAAAATACTCAACCCACCAAGCAAAAGGTAAATAAATAAATTTCATTTAAAGCCTTTTTGTTATAACGCTTTTAATATTCAGTTCTTTTTCAAAATTTTAACTGAAATTCTTTCATAAATAAATTCTTATTAGAATTCAACGATAATTGAATTATTTAAATACAAAATTTTTTTAAAATTTTTAATTGTTTTCCAAATGTTTAGTTATTATTCTTTAAAAAAAATTAAAAATAATTTTTTGAAGTGAGAAAATAAAATTCTTTGAAATATAAAATTTATTTCAATGAAATTTGAGAAAATTCGCGATTTTTAAAATTTTTTTATAACTATTTTCGAAAATTTAACTATTTCTAAAAAATTTTAATTACGATTTTTGAAATACTATTTTTTCAGATTTTTAAAATTTAATTTTTAAAATTTAATGAATTTTTGTTTAAGAAATATTTGAATACTTATTGTTATTTATTTGCCCACCGGGAATTAAAAGTTCAAAATATTTTCCATGTAAAAGATTTCGAAATGTGATTACAATTTCTAAAAATTAGACCTGCAATCCCATTTTTAAAATATTTTCTACAATTTTAACTGAAATTCTTTTTTAAAACAATTCTTATAAAAAAATTGTATAAAAATTCAATAATTGAAATACAAAAATAAGTGATAAACAATTGATTATTTCTAAAAATTGCAACTGTAACTCTACTTTTGGATTTTTTTTAATTTGACAAAGTTAATTCAAAAACAAGGTACTAAAGATTTGGAATAATTTTGGTAATTTTTTAATACTTTGGATAAAATTTTCTTACTTTACGGTCCTGTGAAAATCCTGTTATTGTCAAACTCATGATAATTTGAGCTGTAAAACAAAAATTTGAAATCAAAAAGTTCTAATTTCACGTGAGAATGAAATATCTCGATTATTTTTGTATAATAATATTTAATTCAAAAACAGATAATGATTTTTCGTGTTTTTTTACTAAATTCACGTTTTTTGCATTTAACGAACAAAAATAAAAAAATTGAAAAATTGAATAAAAATTGTAGAAGACGAGAGAAATAAAATTTCATTTAGAAATAGTAAAAGGTATTTTGAAGTTTTATGATCAATATATGAATGAGAAAGCATTTTCTTTTTGTATTTACACATGCTTTTTCTGTTTTGAAATCCATAAATACTTGATCTACATTTTATGCTTTTCGATACAATGTGCTGACCATCACATTCAGTTATGTTCTCGAGTATATCTTCACTTGATCTTCACATAGTTTTATCCCCACTAGTTTCCAAAGAGAAGGGGTCTTAAGTCGTTTCCTTAACAATATGTCTATATTGTCGACGATCTCAGTATCTAACAGGAATATTATTCTTGTAATTCACGTGCCAGTTTAGAAAACGTGTTCCTTTACGTCAATCAAACTTTAATTATCTTTCCATATGTTAATAAAATGTTAAAATTAAAATTTAAAATATTTTAGTGAGAAAAGGAGTTGTGAATTATTTAAGAGAAAATTTGCAGGTAAAATCCGAGGTATTTAAAATTGTTCTATAATATGGTAACATTTTTGTGAGGTTAAAAACAAGAATTTGATTAATGAGAGAAAATCTATTATTAATTTACAAATATTACAAAAATATAATTTTTTATAATTTAAATAAAAACATAACAATTAAATGATGATTATAGGTTTAACAATATTTAAATAATTTACATTTTTTTATCAACTTTACAATATTGGTTATTTTAGTTAAGATCATTATTATTATTATTTATATTTATACTATTTATATTCAAAACCTTTTTTAAAAATTTATCGTCAACATTTCAATTATCTTTATAAATATTTATTTATTTATTTATTCAAAGCAAAATTTTTCGCCGAAATTCAATTATATTCAGGAATTTTAATAAAATTCATTACAAAATTAAATTATTTTCATAATAAATAATAATATTCATCACAAGAATTCAATTATTTTCAAAATTAATAAAATTCTTCGCAGAAATTAAATTATTTTCAAGAAATCTAAAAAAAACATTATCGACAACATTTCAATTATCTTTATAAATGAATAGGAAAATTTTTCACAAAATTCAAATTATTTTCAGGAATTTTATTAAAATTCATTGCAAAATTCAATTATTTTCATAATAACTAATAATATACATCGCAAGAATTCAATTATTTTCAAAAGTAATAAAATTCGATTAAAAGATGTAAACTTGTTTTTGGATTTTTTTAAATTTAGTAATGATTTTGAAAGTTGGTTTTGTTAATAATCGACATTTATTTCAATTTAAAATTTGTTAAATTTTAATGTGGATTCTTAACAAAAACAACCTTCAAGATATTTACTAAAATTCAATTATTTTCAAAAATTTTAATTCAATTCGGGTAAAAATTTCAATTATTTAAAAAAAAATCATAATTCAATTATTTTCATAAATTTTAAAATTCCTTTAAATTTTTTTCATACATAACAATATTCATCACAAGTATTTAATTATTTTGAAAAGTAATTAAATTCAATTATTTTCCAAAATTTTAATAAAATTCGTGTCAAAATTTCAATTATTTTCCAAAATTTTCTTTTATCTAATAATTTGTATATAATTTATCTTAAAAAAATTTCCTAAAAGAATTCAATTATTTAAAAATAATTAACCATAAATTATATTCTATACAAATTCTACACAAATATTCAATTATTTTCTAAAATAATGAAAAAATTCCACAAGAATTCAATTATTAAAAATATAATTTTATAAAATTCTTCACAATAATTCAATTATTTTCATAAATAATACAATTCATTGCAGAATTTCAATTATTTTTAATACAATTTTAATCAGAATCCTCGAAAAATGTAAAATTATTTTAAAAATTTTTATTAAAATTCGTCAAAAGAATTCAATTATATTTAAAAATTTGTTAATAAAGTTCTTTACGAGAATGCAATTTTTAGAAACATTCTATTATTCAATAAATTATCTATGTTTCATTTAAGTAATTGAATTCTCGTAGGAGTTTTTAATAAAAATGGATTTAAACATTAATTTCAGTTAAAGTTTTAGATAATAATTGAATTTTTGAGAAGTGACTAATAATTGCAATTCTTAGAAATAATTGAATTTCGTAAAGGTTTTAAATTAAAATCTTTGAAAATTTAAATTTTTTATATTTTAAATTAAAAATTCTATGTAACTAATTTTTTTTCAAAAAGCTTAATCGAAATTTTTAAAAATTATTTCAAGTTATTATTTTCTAATGTATATTTTGAAGAATTTCCAAATAATCGAAATTTCGTAAAATTGAATTGTATAGAAAAGAAATTGAAAATTCTCAAAAGAACTTTATCAAAAATTATTTAAAATAATTGATTTTAAGAATTTTATTTAAATATTGTAGAAAATAATCTGTGAATTGAAATGAAATTTAATTATTATAAGTGATTGAATTACAAAAGGTTTTTTTGAATTAAAAATTTTTGAAATTCTTAATTCCCATGGAAAAATAAAATAATTATTAATATATATTTATATAATTTAAATATTTATTTAAAAATAAATAAAAATAAACTATTTTGAATAATTTTACAATTAAATTTAATAAATGTAATGGAACATTTTTTGAGTGTGTAATAATTTTTAGAGTAAATCAGAATATTCTTTTGAATCAGGGAGAAAGTCAAAATTTTGTCTGGAAATCTTTTTTTTCTGTTATTAAACTCAAACTTCTTTTTCTTATTTTATATGAAATCTTTATTTTTTAGATAAAAAAATTACTTTGTTGTTTAATAAATAAATAATTTTTCTTTATTTATTATTATTAACTTTTAATGTTTGTCATGAAACAAACCTTAATTTTTAATATCTAAATTTTCCGCAAAATTTTGTATATATTTGAAAATATTATATATTTTATGACGATTTAAAAATCCAACAGAAACAATTTGTATTTTAATAAATAAATTATTTTTGAATTGCAAAGAAAGTTTTTTAAACAACGTTTATAATAAAAATAAATAATTTCTTATTCATTTGTAGACCTTAATATTTTAAAATTAAATAATGACTAAATAGAAATTTTCCATTTTTTCAGAATAATGATCTGGTTGAAAAGCAGAATGAGAAAATTGTCAACCAAGGAAATAAGGTGCGCGATTTGAAAGTTGCGAAAGCCGATAAAGGAACAATTGAAGCTGAAGTGAAGATACTATTGAGTCTAAAAGCCGAATACAAATCACTTACTGGAGTTGACTGGAAACCTGGTGCGATCGTCAAGGCAGAAGAAAAAAATCCACAAGCGACAGCATCAAAAATGTCGAATTCAAATGCCAATGATCTATTTGCTCAAATACAGGAGCAAGAGAACAAAATCGACGAGGAAGCAAAGAAACTCTCGATATTGAAAGCTCAATATAAACAAGCAACCGGACAAGATTGGAAGACGGGTGCAATTTTAAGTCAAGCTAAAAATGAGACCAAATCGGCTCAATCAATTTCGAATGATATTGTCAAACAGGGAGACAAGGTTAGAGAATTAAAAAGTCAAAAAGCTGACAAGGGGAAAATCGATCAAGAAGTCAAGGAGCTTTTGAGACTGAAGGTTGAGTATAAATCGGTGACGGGAGAAGAATGGAAACCTAGTGCGGCTCCAGCGGTAAAAGCTCCGGTTAATAATGCTGAAGGTCTTTCGAGTCAAATCGCAAAGCAAGGAGACAAGGTTCGAGACCTAAAGACCAAAAAAGCTGACAAGGCGGCAATTGATCAGGAAGTGAAAGAACTTTTGCGACTGAAAGGCGAATACAAATCGGCAACGGGCGCAGAATGGAAACCTGGTGCAGCTCCAGCGGTAAAAGCTCCGGTTAATAATGCCGAAGCTCTTTCGAATCAAGTAGCCAAGCAAGGAGACAAAGTTCGAGACTTAAAGACCAAAAAAGCCGAGAAAGCGACAATTGATCAGGAAGTAAAGGAACTTTTGCGACTGAAAGCTGAATATAAATCGGCAACGGGCGAAGAATGGAAACCTGGTGCGGCTCCAGCGGCAAAAGCTCCGGTTAATAATGCCGAAGGTCTTTCGAGTCAAATTGCAAAGCAAGGAGACAAGGTTCGAGACCTAAAAACGAAAAAAGCTGACAAGGCGGCAATTGATCAGGAAGTGAAAGAACTTTTGCGACTGAAAGGCGAATACAAATCGGCAACGGGCGCAGAATGGAAACCTTCACCAACCCCACAAGTTAACAATAACTCCAAAGTAAACGAAATTTCCCAAAAAATCACCCAACAAGGTGACAAAGTCCGACAATTAAAGACAAATAAAGCAGAAAAGAATGTTATCGATCAGGAAGTGAAAACTCTTCTCAGTCTGAAAGAAGAATACAAATCACTCGCCGGTCACGATTGGAAACCATCAGCAGCACAAAGTGATAAAAAACCAGAAAAAACGAAAGTCTCGAAATCGAACGAAAAATCACAAAAGAAATCCGAGAAAGATGAGAAGGTAAAGGAGGACACAAAAACAGGAACACGATTAGGACTCGAGGCGAAGAAAAATGAAAATCTTCCCGATTGGTATTCACAGGTGATCACCAAGAGTGAAATGATTGAATACTACAATGTCTCCGGTTGTTACGTTCTTCGTCCTTGGAGTTTCTCCATTTGGGAGGTAATCAAGGATTATATTGATTGTGAGATCAAAAAATTGGGAGTGGAAAATTGCTATTTTCCAATTTTCGTAAGTCAAGCTGCATTGGAGCGGGAGAAAACGCATATTGCTGATTTTGCACCGGAAGTTGCATGGGTGACGAAGAGCGGAAGTTCTGATCTTGCCGAGCCAATTGCTATTCGTCCAACTTCAGAGACTGTTATGTATCCTGCTTATGCAAAATGGCTCGCATCTCACAGGGATCTGCCACTGAGGCTCAATCAGTGGAATAATGTTGTGGTTCGTATTTTTATTTTTTATAAAAACTTATTTTTAATTTACTACTATTTACTACTACTTGCAGGCATCCCAGCTGTTCCACTTTTGCCCCCTTTTTTCAATTTTGTCACCTTTTTCCCCTTTCATGGTGATTTGTCCCCTTTTTCACCTTTTTCTAATAAAAAATAACAGACAAGGTGTCCAGCTACCTTAAAAGCCTTGAAAAGTACTTGAATTTTTTTTGCTCCTTGAAAACCTTGAAAACACCTTGAATTTTATGACAAAACCTTGAAAAATTAAAATTCTTAAAAATGAGATTTATTTTCTTGCACGGTTGCCACAGGTCAGGGAATTCAGGGAAAAGTCAGGGGAAGTAAAATTGGTCAGGGAAAAGTCAGGGATTTTTAGTAAAAGTACTGGAAAAAATTGAATTTTAAAAATTCATAAAAAAACTCTGAATTTTGATGTTTTTTTTTTGTTTGCCTCGTAAACTATGAAAATTATCACGAATTTTAATACAAAACCTTCAATTTTTTCAATTTCAGACAATAATTTATTTTTAAATAACTTAATTTTACAAGAACTATCATAAAATTATGACTTATAAATTATTTAATGAATCATTTTTACAATTTTCATAAATACTAGATTGATAGAAGAATTTTAGTTGAAAATACTAAAAAAAAATGAATTTTGGAAAAGTTACAAATAATTCCATAAATTCAATAATTTTCAAAAGTAATAAGATTTTTCGCAGAAATTCAATTATATTCAAAAATTTAAAAAAATTCTGATCATTTCAATTATATCTTCAGAAATAATAAAATTCTTCTCCAAAATTCAATTATGTTCAAAAATTTTTTTTAAATTCTCGTCAAAATTTCAATTATCTTTATAAATAATAGTTATAAATAATATCTTTATAATTATTTTTAAAAACTTTAATAAAATTCTTGGCAAAATTTCACAGGAATTCAATAATTTACAAGATTTTTAATAAATTTCTTCGAAATAAATCAATTATTTTCATAAATTCGTCGCAGGAATTCAATTGTTTAAAAAAAATTTAACAAAGTTCTTTTCAAGAATTCAATATTATTTTTAGAAATAGTAAAATTCTTCACCGAAATTCAATTATTTTTATAAACTTAAATAAAATTCGTTGGAAGAATTAAATTATTTTGAAAAGTAATAAAAGTCTTCGCAGAAATTCAATTATGTTCAAAAGTTAAAAAAAAAATCTTGTCAAAATTTCAATTATCTTTATAAATAATAAAATTCTTTAATATTCAATTATTAAAAAATTTTTTTTTAAATTCTCGTTAAAATTTCAATTATTGTTATAAATAATAAAATTCTTCTTCAAAATTCAATTATTTTTTAAAAACTTGAATAAAATTCTTGTTAAAATTTCACAGGAATTCAATAATTTATAAATTTTTTTAATAAATTTCTTTGAAATAATTAAATTATTTTCATAAATAATAAAATTCGTCACAGAAATTCAATTATTTAATATGCAAAATTTCATAAAATTTTTCGAAAAATATCAGTTATTTAAAAAGATTTTTATAAAATTCGTCGCAAGAATTCAATTATTTAAAAAAAATTTAACAAAGTTCTTTTCAAAAATTCAATTATTTTTATAAATACAAATAAAATTCTTCACCGAAATTCAATTATTTTAGAAAAATTTTAATAACATTTTTGGGAAAATTTTTAATTATTTTCATAAATAATAAAACTCATCGCAGGATTTTAATTAATTTTTGATACAATATTCTAATCAAATTCCTTGATAAATGTAATTATTCTTAAAAATTTCATTAAAATTTGTCAAAATAATTGAATTATTTAAAAATTTGTTGTATTTTAATAATTGAATTCTCGTAGAATTGTCTAATAAAAATTGATTTAAAAATGAATAATTTCAGTTAAAGTTTTAGATAATAATTAATAATATTAAGAGCATTAGGGGGGAATATTTAGAAATAATTGAATTTTGAAAAGGTTTCGAATTCAAATCTTTGAAAAATAAGTTATTGAATTTCAAAACATTTTGAATTCATAATTTTTGAAAATCTTAACTCCTATGGAAAAATAACTATGATTAAATTTATTTAAAAAAGAAGTTGTTGATGTTTTTGAATAACTTTACAATGAAAGAAATTCGTAAATAAATTTATTGGACCTTTTTTTCAGACTCTAATCATTTTTAGAGTGAATCAGAATATTCTTTTCTGGTCAGGGAAAAAGTTAAAATTTTGTCTGGAAATCAGGGAAAAGTCAGGGAAAAACGAAACTAAATTTTTGTGGCAACCTTGATTTAATATGCGACAACAATTTTTTTTCGTATTAATAAATTATTATTAATTTGAATATTTATTTGGAATATTTAGTAAAAGCTAATATTTCAATTATTTACAATAATCGTGATATTTTTGCCTTATATTATTAATATTAATTTATTTTATATTTAATATTATAATATTAATATATTTTCTTTTCAGAGGTGGGAATTCAAGCATCCGCAACCATTTTTGCGAACGAGGGAATTCCTTTGGCAAGAGGGTCACACTGCATTTGCAACGAAAGCCGAAGCTGACGAGGAAGTAATGACAATTTTGGATATTTACAGAAGTGTCTATGAGGATTTATTGGCAATTCCAGTGGTGAGAGGTCGTAAAACGGAAAAGGAAAAATTCGCCGGCGGTGATTACACAACGACAGTCGAGGCTTTTATCTCCGCTAGTGGAAGAGCAATTCAGGGTGCAACCAGTCATCATCTTGGTCAGAATTTCTCCAAAATGTTTGACATTCAAGTCGAGGGTGCTGAGGAGGGTGGAGAAAAGACTTTCGTTTACCAAAATTCCTGGGGCTTAACGACTCGTACAATCGGAGTCATGGTCATGGTATGTATAATTTCCCAAACAAAATTTTTCTTATTTTTTCAATTATTTGTTTATTTGTTTATTTTTATAATTTTGTAATTGTAGAATCATTAATTTTAATTGTTTTAATAGTATATTTCGTAACGAGTGCGAGCAGTTGGCAATTTTTGAATGAGCACTTTTTTTGGAACGAACTGTAGGCGAAGCGAAGCTTCGCCTACAGTTTGTTCCAAAAAAAGTGCTCGTTCAAAAATTGGCAACTGCTAGCACTAGTTACGAACGATATTTTTCATAACAAGGTGCAAAAAAGTGCCCTTTTTTGCACCGCGTTATGAAAAATTAATTCCTTAATTATTAATTAAACCAGCATAAATATAAGTGCGTGAAATTTTACTGCCCATTGTTGGTTACAAAAACTTTCCTTTTGAAATTTAATGAAAGTTTTGTATTTTTTAAGAAATATAATTTTTCGAAATATAATTCTTTAAAAATGCGATTGTATTTCAAAACAATTTTTGAAAGTAATACAATTAAATTCTTTTAAATATATAAAATTTATTATAATGAAATTTGACAAAACTTTTAATTGTTTCAATTTTTTAAACTATTTTCGTGAGTTGAATTATCTTCAAAAAAATTTGTATTACAATTTTTTAAAAGCCTAATTTTTTTTAGAATTTCGGCATTAAATTATTCAAATTTAAAATAATTTTTGTTAAACAAATTTTTAAAAACTTACTGTTATTTATTTTTATTAAAATTTCAAATAATTTAAGTGTAAAACAATTTGAAATTTAATTATTTCAAAAAATTACAACTGCAATTTTTACAAAAGTCAATTATTTTTTACAAGTATTTCCTAAAATTTCTGTTATAACGCTTTCAATATTCAATTATTATTTTTCAAAATTTTAACTGAAATTCTTTTTTTAAATTAATTCTTATTAGAGTTCAGCAATAATGAAATTGTTTAAACATTTAACAAACATTTTTGTAAAATTTAATTATTTTACAATAATGTTTAGTTACAATTCTTCCAAAAATACAATATTTAAAAATATTTTTTTAAAGTGAGAATAAAATTCTTTAAAATATAAAATTTATTTTAAATTAGAAAATTTCCTATTTTTTCAATTTTTTAAAATTATTTTCGGCAATTCAACTTTTATCAAAAAATTTTAATTTCGATGTTTTAAAAACCTTATTTTTTCAGAATTTATAAATAAAATTTGTCAACTTTAATTAATTTCTGTTTAATAAATATTTGAATACTGATTATTATTTATTTGTCCAACAGGAATTAGAATTTTAAAATATTTGCAATCTAAAATATTTTGAAATTTAATTACTTCTAAAACTTAGAAATGCAATTCTTCCAATTCTTGAAATATTCTCTAAAATTTGAACTAAAATTCTTTTTCAAATCAATTCTTATTTACCAAAAAGTTGTACGAGAATTAAATTATTTAAATACAAAAATAAGTGATAAAATAATTGGTTATTTCTTTAAATTGCAACTGTGAGAAAGAAAATTCATAAATTATTTAAGATTTTGAATATTTGATATTTTTTTTAATAGTTTGGATAACATTTCCTTTCATTACTGTATACTGTGAAAATCTATAGTTATTGTAAAAATTCTAATGGAATTAATTTCACCAAAAAACTAATCACACTATTTATAATTAATTGTCAAACTTTTTGCAAGATAATTTGAACTGCAAATTTGAAATTTTATAAAAATTCAATTTTAAATGAATTTTATTAGAAATTTTAAAGAACTGTAGATTTTTGAAAAATGTAAATAGTTCAAATACTTTTGAAATTAGTTAAATTTTTTAACCTATGTATTTAATTAATTATTCAAAATAATGGATTTATAAAAGAACTTTGGTTAAAAAAAACTAAAAAAATTGAATTTTGAAAAAGCTACAAATGATTGTAGAAATTTAATTATTTTTCAAATATAATAAAATTCTTCTCAGAAATTTAATTATGTTTCAAAAATTTTTAACAATTCTCGTCAAAATTTCAATTATCTTTATAAATAATAAATTCTTTTCCGAAATTCAATTATTTTCAAAAATTTTGATAAACTTTTTGGAAAAATTTCAATTATTTTCAAAAATTTTCCTCAATTCAATGATTTTTAATATTCACGATTTTAATACAATTTTAATCGAATTCCTCAAACAAATATTCTTATAAATTTTATGAAAATCTGAAGAAAGAATTCAATTATTTAAAAAGTTGTTAATATAATTCTTTATGAGAATGCAATTTTAAGAAATTAATCAATTATTTAATAAGTTCTTTATTTTTATATTGAAATAATTGAATTTTCGTAGAATTTTCTAATAAAAATTGATTTAAAAATGAATTTCAGTTAAAATTTTAGATAATTATTGAATATTAGAATTATTATATTAAGAATTTTTAGAAATAATTGAATTTTGAAAAGGTTTCAAATTAAAATCTTTGAAAATCTAAATTTTTCATACTTTTAACTATCAATGTAGAAATAATTTTTTTGAAAAAGTTATTAATTTATTTTATTCAGGGTTATAAAAAACTTTATAGATTTACAATTATTTTCATAAATAATATAACTCATCGCAGAATTTCAATAAAATTTCACAAAAGAATTCAATTAGGTCTTTAAAGAGAAATATTATTAAAAAATTCGTCTTAAGAATTCAATTATTTTCAAAAGTAATAAAATTCTTCGCAAAAATTTAATTATGGTCAAAAGTTTGAAAAAATTATCGTCAAAATTTCAATTATCTTTATAAATATTAAAATTTTTTTCCAAAATTCAATTATTTTTTCAAAAATTCTCCACCATTCAATGATTTTCAATATCTACTATTTTAATAAAATTTTCCAAAAGAAATGAATTATTTTAAAAAATTTTTGATAAAATTCTAAGCAAACCTTTTATTATTTTTATAAATAACAAATATTTCACAGCAATTCAATTATTTACAAATTTTTTTATAAATTTCTTTGCAATAATTCCATTATTTTCAAAAATATTCAATTTATTTTCACAGAGATTCAATTATTTTTATAAATTATTAAAGAACTTTTTCAAAAAATATTAAAAATAATAAATTTATGGAAGATGTTTAGTTAAAAACACGAGAAAAATTGAATTTTGTAAAAGTTACAAATTATTGCAAAAATTCAATTATTTTCAAGAGTAATAATATTTTTTGCAAAAATTAAATGTTGTTTAAAAGTAATGAAATTCCTCTTAGGGATTCAATTAATTTCACAAATAATAAAACTCATTGCTGAATTTCAATTATTTTTAATACAATTTGAATCGAATTTCTCGATAAATGTAATTATTCTTAAAAATTTTATTATAATTCGTTGATAGAATTTAATTATTTGAAAATTTGTTGATAACGATTCTTTATGGGAATTGAATTTTAAGAAACATTCAATTATTGAATAAATTACATATTTTTGTATTTAAATGATTGAATTGTCGTAGAATTTTCTAATTATAATTGATCCAAATATGAATTTCAGTTAAAATTGTAGATAATTCAATTTCGATCTTTGAATGTTTGAATTTTTCATACTTTTAACTGAAAGTTGTTGAGATTTAATTTTTTTGAAAAAGTTCAATTGAATTTTTTTTAAGTTATTTGAAGTTTTTATTTTCTAATATTTAATTGAAGAATTTCCGAATAATCGTTGAAATTTCGTAAAATTGAATTGTAAACAAAAGGATTTAAAAATGTTGAAAGAAATGTTTTAAAAATTATTAATAATAATTAATAATAATTAATTTAAAGAAGAATTTTAGTTAAAAATTTTGGAAAACAATAATTCAATGAAAATGATGAAAGTAATTTTGAATAAGTTTCAGTAACAATATTGTTATAATATAAAATAATGATTTAATCAGTCGGTCATTTTTAATTATTATAAAACATGAATTTTGTCTGGAAATCAGGGAAAAGTCAGGGAAAAATAAAATAAAATTTTTGTGACAATCCTGATTAAATTTTATATCTTGAAGTTTTGATGATTTGATTTTAATATTATTTCAAGGTTCACGCCGATGACAAGGGACTTGTTCTGCCACCGCGTGTTGCTTGCATTCAAGCGATTATTGTGCCTTGTGGAATAACAGCATCAACAACACAGGAGCAAAGAAAAAATCTTCTCGCTGAATGTGAGAAATTGGAGGCAGAATTGAAAAAGACTGGTAATTTGAGAATAAAGGGCGACTACAAAGACAATGTTAGTCCAGGATGGAAATTTAATCATTGGGAATTGAAAGGCGTTCCATTGAGAATTGAATTAGGTCCCAAGGATTTGGAGAAGAAACAGGTGACACTTGTTAGACGTGATACAGCCGAAAGATTGACTAAATCTAGAAGCGATATTTCATCGGCTGTTAGTAATTTACTTGAGGAAATACACGTCGCTCTCTTTAACAAGTGAGTAACATTTTTTACAATTTTAATAAATTAAATTCTTTTTTTTTGTAATTTTGCAGTAAATTTTCATTTTTGAAATTTTTGTTTCGAAAAATAATTTTGGAATTTTTCTCATGAATATTTATTTTATCAATTTCAGTATTTTTTGAAAATAAAACATTAGGTTAATGAAATTAAATTTTTTTGATTTGCAAAAATTCGATGTTTTAATTAGGTTTTAGAGAAAATTGAATTTTTTTTTTACAAAAATGTAAAATTTCTGTAAGTAGATAAAGTTTATATATATAGAATTAAATATAATTTATATACTACTATAATTTTATTTCTAATTAATAATTATAAATACCTAAATAAATTAAATACTAAGTGTATAATATTTTTTTACTTTAGAGCTAAGGAAGAATTGACGACACATGTAAAGCAGGCGCATGAATGGACCGATTTTTGCACTAATCTTGATAAGAAGAATTTAATTCTTGCACCATTCTGCGGAGAAATTTCCTGTGAGGATAATATTAAAACAGACAGTGTCAGGTAATATTTTTTATTTAATTACTAAGTTTTATGTAACATTTTTTAAAAATTTATTACTTGCCTGAAATAATTTAAAAAAAAATAATAATTAATTATTAACCTATTATAAAATTTGAAAAATCCTAATTAAATTCATTTGAAGAATTTCTTTCAACTTTTTTAAAATAATAGAGTTTCTTTAATAATTTTAATTGAAAATTTTGAAAGCAATTGAATATTATGAAGAAGAATTTTATTAATTCTTTCGTGTTATTTTATTTATAAGTTATATTAAAGATAATTTAATTCCTGCAAAGAATTTTAGTATTTATAAAAATAGTTGAATTATTTCGAAGACTTCATTAAAATTTTAGGTAATAATTGAATTTTATTGAAATATTTGAAAATTCTTCCGAAGAATTCAATTAAAATTGTTTTGAAAATAATTGAGTTTGTGCAAAGATTTTACTATTCATAAAATTAATTGAATTGTTTTGAAGGATTTATTAAAAGTTTAGAAAATAATTGAATTTTTTTGAAAAATTTTATAACGAAATTAACGAATTAAGAAAAAAATTTATTTCTTTAGCGAAATTTTATTGAAAATAATTGAATACAAAGAATTATATTAATATTTTTGAAAATATAAACAATAATAATTAATTTTGTACTTAATAAGTGAATTTTAATGTCAAAAGTAATATTTAGACACTAATTAATATAATTTATTAATAATAATAAAAAGAATCAACTTTTTTTGTTATTAAAAATAATAAATAATTCACTATTCATTGAAGCACGTGTATTAAAAATTGAAAACATCAATATTTTTAATATTAATTAATAAATGTTTATTGATTGCAGAGAGGATACGAGTGATGAACCTGGTGCACCTTCCATGGGAGCAAAGAGTCTTTGCATACCCTTCGATCAACCTAAAAACGATCTAAACAAAATGAAATGCATCCACAAGAGTTGTCAAAATAAACCTAAATATTACACTCTCTTTGGACGCAGTTATTAAGAAAACCTTTATTTATACATATTTAAATTATTATATTTCTGCGATAGTAGAAGGTTCTTTAGGGCATCGACTTTAATTTTTTATTTGTAAGTAAAGTCGAATAAAAGACTTGATATTTTATTTTCCTCTATCATTTATTTATTACCTTTATGATGAGTTCATAATTAATTATTAGTTTAATTAATTGTTAATTCGTTCATGTCACAATTACTTAAAAAAAATATTAGTAATTTACAGTCTCATTCAATTTTTTTATTCATTATTTTATTATTTATCTAGTTTGTTAATATTTATTAATTATTAATATAATAAATAATTTTTTATGTCCTACAATAAAGTGAATAAACGTTTTTTTTTATTTTTTAAATTTAAAAAAAAAATAATTAAAAATTAAGTAAAAGAACTGCAAACAAATCAGAAAGTAATTTAAAAATTCATTTAGTACTAGTTAAAATTTATGTTTAATCATTATTTTTTTTATTATTTTTTCATGTCTTATTATAAGATTTTTAAACTGATAAATAATTTTCAGATTCTTTTAAAATTATTTTTGAAAAATATTAAAAAGGAAAAAAAATAAAAATTTTTTTATTATTCAAAAATTATAAAGATATTTTTTTGCTTTTAAAAGTAATTTATAACTTTTATCAAATGTCGATAAAAAATTCTAATTTTCTCTGTTTTTACTTTTTTTTTATTACAATTAATTCATTTATTTAGAAATAATTATATTATTATTTATTAAAATATAAATTGTAGTTTATTTTTTTATCGTTTAATTTATTTATTATGCAATAATTGATACTTTTAATTTTTTCAAATTAATAAATATTGTACAACAATAAATTTATATTATAGTGTTTAGAAATACATAATTAACCCTCCGTCACACACCTAGGGAGGGATTCCCTCTACGGTTTCAGTATTTTTTAAATAACTTTTGTTTTCCTCATTGCAAAATAAAATCAGTTTCTATACCTTTCGACAATTTACTCCTCAACACATTTCTAAAAAAACATTTAGTTTAAACATAATTAATATTTAATTATGAAGCTTCAAAGCCAGAAAAAACTCGAAAAAGTGAGGTTATGTTAAATAAAAAAAATCAAGTTTTCAAAACATCTTTTGTTCCACTGTTGGTTAATGACAAAATTATATTATAAATATAATTAAAATGAATTGTTTAAAATTTTTGTTGATTCCTTTGTTTATGTTGTAATTTTGCTTATTTTACAACGTGGTGAGGGATTCCCTCTAAACGTGTGTAAAGTCGTAATTTTTTCCCATGTGTGTGATGGAGGGTTAAGAATTGTATAAGAAAAATTATTGCGAAGTTTCTAAATACAGATTTTGAATATTCGCGCGCTCTATTTCGACCAATCAGGTAACGTTGAGATTCTGTTCAATCTGCGCAGACGCATTGTCGGCAACAGGCTCCAACAGGCCTCCATGCGTTGGTGAAATTGTGAAGAAGTAAATGAGTGTAAAGTGTTTAACAACATTATTTCCAGTATTTAAGCAAAATTTAAACAAAGGTATACAATTTTTCTATTTTTAAACAATATTTACATAATTTAGAAGTTAATAACTAAGCAAACTAAGCCTAACAATTTTGTAAAATACGTTGAATCAAGTTTCTGAAATCAACCCGGCGAATCTCTAGGGTTATTCATCACATTGCATTGTTTTGTTAATTTGTTTTTTGCATTATTTTTTGTTTCTATCTTTTTAATTGTTGTCGAAAAGTTGTAAAAAGTATCAAAAATGGTGTTTTTTATGCCTAAAAGCATTGTTACAGTTTAAAACTAATTCTTTTGTTGGTATGTAAATGCAAAATTTTTCTTGATTTCCTGCTATTATTGTTATTTTTCGTGAATTGAAAGTTTCAGGAAATTTCCATATTCAAAGATGGCGGCAGTTATAAATTACTAATATCAATTTTAATCCTTTTTTTTTTATTTTTTATAGAGTAAAAATGGAGTAAATTAATAAACATGTAATATTGTGAAATGTGACGCGCCCCGAAAAAAGGTAAGAAGCAAATCATTTAAAGGTTATGTTTGTATTATTTTTAGCTTAATTAAAAGTTTCTGTTTAATTCTGTAAAATTAAAATTAATTTTTTATAATTATTTGAAATACAATGAAGACTTGAATATCAATAGTTTATATTGAAAGTTGACCTTCATCGTGTATTTTAATTCTAAAAATGACAAACATAACCTCAAATTTTTTGCTTCCTTTCTTCGAAGCGCGTTACAAATTATTTATAACGTTCACTGTAAAAAAGACCAATGTTGAATTACAATCGGGTCGTTAATTTTAAATTTTCCAGTTTGTAATTTTACTACGGTACACGTAATAATTTAACACCCATATAGTATTTTCACAATTAAAAAGTAAAATTATTACGCTTATCGTTGTAAATGTGTCACGCGTTAGTAAATGTACATCCCGAATGTTTAATCATTTCGTGATACATTGGAAACTTTTCGCTTCACGTATAACGTTGTATGTTAACAACCCAACCGTAAAAATATTTTCGTGTGTTAAGTAACTTACAGCTGATAGTTTTACCGACAGTATGTAGAATTATGTAGCTGTCTGTAAGTATACATTCGAATATGATATTTTTTGCCCGAATGTTTTTCTACACTGCGTGACGATGAAGTGGCATATAAGAAACTATGCGCATAGGCAAACGTTAATATTTTAATTTTAATTTATTAAAATTTCGACAATTTTAAGAATTTAAAGATTAAAGGAAATTTGTAAAGGTAAGTTCAAATTCTTAACATTTTTCATTTCTTAAATTTGAAAGATTTCTTTTTAATTTTTCATATATATCAAAGTTAATAAGGTAATGTCTTTTAACCTAAAAAGAGACACGTTTTTAATGATTTTTTATACTTAAAAAATTTTATTCAACTGTGTGAATTTTCTGTATGAAAATAATTTTCAAACATAAAAAATTTTTTCAGAATATCTTCATGGACTCTATTGCTTAAGCAGCTCGTATTTTTTTAAAATTAAAGTGGAAAAAGTATTTGTTTTTCCTGTTCTGTTGGGGAATTCGTTAACTTTGTACAAATGACAAAAAAGCTACAAATGTGATTTGTATATTATAAATATTTAATATATTTATTTATTTCTTACATTTTTCCTTTATTTCCTTTTTATAATTTAACCTTTATGTAATACAAAATAAATATAAAAAAAGAATAATTTTAAAATGCAGCGAAATTATTATGTAAAATTACCGACGAGTGGTCGATTTACAATTTGATGCGAAATCACATAAGAGAGGTTATGTTACGAACGGTAAGTAAGTTAACATTCGGGCTGTAATAGTACTACGTCATACGTGAAGCGAAAAGTTTCCAACGTTACACGTTGTAAATTTACATTGGGCTTTTTTACAGTGTTGGATATCATAATTTCTCTAAATAAATTTTTGAAATATACAATTAAAAAGATTTTGAATAATTGAAATTTTGTAAAATTTAATTGAAAATAAATAATTTTTTTAAAGTATTTTATTACAATTTTTGAAAACTAACTTTTGAAGAATTTTAATTGAAAATTTTGAAAATAATTGAATTCTCAAAAATTTTAATGAATAAACTTTAAGTGTAAATTCAATAAAAATGAAAATTAATGGAAATTAAGTTCTAAAAATAATATTAGAATAGTTTTAAAAAAAGTAAATCTCTAAATTATTTCGTTCTAATTTTTAAAATCCAATTATTTTCAATATTTTCAATATTTCCGAAAATTCAAACCACAAAATAATAAAATATATAACATTACAATTTTTGAGAATTATTTTTAACATTTTTGGAAAAAAATAATCATATTCAAAGTTTTTAATTAAAATTCTTCAAAAAATTATTTTTTTTTAATTATACAAAAATTCTTCAATTATTTTCGAAAAATTACATTATAAAATAATATTTATAAGAAACTAATTCTTAGAATTGTTTTACCATAATTTTTTAAGTTTCAATTACCTTCGAACAAAATATATTAAAATTTTTTAAAATTTACTATTTTAGAATTTTTCAGAAGTTATTTATAATTAAAATTCTTCAAAAATTTGATTATTTTTTTTTAATTTTTGAAAAACTATTATTTAGAAAAGATTTAATCAAATTTCAATTATTTTTCAAAGATTTTACTAAATTTAAATTTTTTGGACATTTTTTAATTATTGTATGTAATTGTAAAACTATTGTCTTTCGAAAATTATTTAGAAATATTTTTAAAAAGTAAATTTTAAGAATTTCTTAATTAAAAGTTTTGAAAATATTCTACCTTAATATCTTAATTTTTAGAAATTATTAAATTTTAGAAGTTGAAATTTTTAAATTTTTATTTCCTGTGAAAAAAGAAATAAGAAGTATTGAAATAATATTTATTTAGTAAAATTATACAAGTTTTGATTAATTGAATTTAGAAATCAGGGAAATACAAAATAAAATTTTGGTGACGAGTAAATTAAATAAACGACTTTTTTGACTATTTTTCTATTTTTAATCGACTAAAGCGACTTTTCTTGCTCGTTAAAGTCGATCCGAGGCCTGTAATTTTAGTTTTTAATACATCGAATTTTTAATTGCTTTTTTCTTCTTTGTTTTCATAGAATTTTATAATTTTAATAATTATACAAAAAATTGGAGAATATTTTTAAAAAATCGTTCTATTTTTTTAGTTTCAAAACAGAAGATAAAATTAATTTCAACCATGTCTGAAATTCTTGACCAAATTCCCGACGTTGACATTGATTCGGATGGAGTTTTTAAATACATTTTAATAAATGTAACAGATAAAAAGAGCAATTCTAAAAAACCAATTGTCCGGGGATACGCCAGAGCTCCTTATCACGGTGAGTTTTTAATTTTCTTTTCAATTTTTCTATTTTCTGTTTTATAAAAGAAATTTATTAACATTTTTTTATTCGTGAATCAAAAAAAGGAATTGGAAATATGAATTAAGTATACATTTAAATTGATCTTTATTTATATTATAATTACATTGCTTATGTATCGTAGGCATTAACAAAAATTAATTATATTGTAATTACATTTGCTTAATATTTATATTGTAATTTATATTAATTTATATTATAATTATCATTCTTTCGTTAAAAACAGCACAAATTGAATTTCAATCAGACTCGAATGAAATCGATTTTAAGTAGAAAAATGTTTTTAAATAATTATAATTTACGTGGAGAAGTAAAATAGAAATTAACAAAATTTAATTAAAACTTGACTAAATACGGAAAATTATTATCAAAAATAATAATTACATTCTTTTTAAACTTTTATTTAAAAAAAATTCCAATTCCATTAAATTCTGTTTATCTTACGCTATCTTCATTAATCATTAACTGACATTGATTTCCTTTAGGGAGCGTAATTAATTATACCACAAATGCAGTTTTCAATATTTTAAATAATTACTAATTATAATGAAAATTAAATTTTCAAGTGAATCGAGTTTGTAATTAATTCGCAACATTAATTTTGAAAATTATTTTAAAAAAAAATTAATCTATTAATATCAATATCTGTTAATATCAAAATCAATCTGTTTTAAAAATTCTATTTCCTAATTTAATTAAATTTATGAACATAATAATTGTTTACAATATATTACAGGTCTCGAATATTATAACTTTTTCGACTTTTTTTCAACTTATTTTCAAAAATTGCAACTTTTTCGTCTTTCCTTCCAAATATTGCAAGAAAATACCACATTTTTAGCATAAAATGCAACTTTTATCGATTTTTAAAGTGTGAAAAAAAACTATAAAAAAATTTTTCAAAAATTATTATTTTATTATTTTTGAATCACTTTTTTAAGATATAATTAAATTTTTCAAATATATCTGTAATAAGAATCTTTTTGAATAATTGAAATTTTCTAAAATTTAATTGAAAATAATTAATTTTTTCAAGTATTTTGTTATAATTTTTGAGAATCAACTTTTGAAAGAATTTTAATTGCAAATTTTGAAAATAATTGAATTATCAAAAATTTTAATGAAAAAGCTTTAAATGTAAAATTTAAAAATAAAAATGAATGAAAATTAGCTTCTAATTTTTTAAAATTCAACATTTTCAATATTTTTTAATTACATATTTCCGAAAATTCAAATACACATAAAAAATAATATTTTAGAATTATTTTTAACATGTTGGAGAAAAAAATCATGTTTAAAAATTTTAATTAAAATTCGTCAAAAATTTAATTAGTTTTTTCAAATTATACAAAAAAATTATATTAAGAAATTCAATTATTTTTAAAAAATTATAATACATTAAAATATTTCTAATAACTAATTCTTAGAATTGCTATATCAATATTTTTTGATTCGATTATCTTCGAATAAAGTGAATAAAAATTTATAAAAATTTACTTTTTTAGACTTATTAAAAAATTATAAATATTTATAATTAAAGTTCTTTAAAAATTTGGTTATTTTTATTTATATTTTTCAAAAATTCAATTATTTTTAAAAGATTTTACCAAATTTCAATTGTTTGGTAATTTTTCATTTGTATATATACATAAATACCTAATTAAAAAACTATTATTTTGAAAAAATTATTGAAAAATATTTTTCAAAAAATTAATTGTAAGAATGTCTTTATTATAATTATTTGAAAATATTTTATCTTAATAACTTGAGAAAAAAACACGGACAGATACAACTATTATAACAAATTGAGTTTTTGTATTATTTAAATAATTGAATTCCAGAAGAAATTTCGAAAAATTATTTAAAATAATAAATGTGATTTAGAAATTTAGTTTAGTTGAAAATTGTAGAAAATAATTAAATTCACGTAGGGTTATAATTATAATTTTTAGAAATTATTAAAATTCATAAATTTTACTCATTATCCGCAAACTTTCATATTTTCCTGTAAAAAGAATTTTGTCAGGGAAAATAATTTTAATGTGAGTAAATTGTCAGGGAAATTGATAAACTAAAAATTACGACCACCCTGGTCTTGAAAAAATATTTTTAAGAATATGTTTATTATAATTTTTTGAAAATAAGCCTCAATATTCAATAACTTTAAAAAAAACATGAACATAGTTACAGTTTCAATTATTAAAGAAAAATTGAATTTTTGTATTTAAATAATTGAATTCTCGAATAACTTTCTGAAAATTATTAAAAATTAATATAAATAATTGATTTAGAGATGAAGTTTAGTTAAAAATTGTAGAAAATAATTAAATTTTGGATTTAACGAAATTATTCAAGTTTTTAATGATAATTGAATTTAGAAATGAGTGAAAGGTCAGGGAAATAGAAAATAAAATTTTTGTGACAGCACTCAATTAAATAAACGACTTTCTCGAGTTTTTTTTTTGCGCCTTAAAGTCGATCCGATGTCTGATATTATAAAAATGGCTTAATTTTTAAAATAAATTGAATCAATAATTAATTAATTATATTTCCATATTCAAATCTATTCTGTTTTAAAAATTGGATTTTTAAATCTTTGTCTTATTATTAGAATTTAAAAAATTTTTATTGAAAAATAATTAAGTTACAAAAAAACCGCAGTATAATTTATTGACATTGGAAAAATTTATACAATTTGAAAAGTAAATGTTTTCGTTTTTATTTAATAGAATAATATATGTAACTATTGCTTCTATGTTCAATTTACAATTCAATTCATTTACAACAATTCACAATACAACATTTACAACAATTCAAACATTTTATAAAATTAAAACAGAATACAAAAAAGAAAACAATCCGAATTAAATATTATAGTTAAAAAAATAATTAAATAAGGAAATAGAGAAAGCACGTCAGTTAAACTGAAAATTTTTTAATTACTTCCACTGTAAAATAATTAAAACATAATAGAAACTAGTAATGTTTTTTTATTCTAAAATTGGAGTAATTACAATTTTTAATTAAAGTAAATTTACTCATTAATTATTATGAATTAAATTTTGGATTATTAAAATTAAAAAACAAAAATGTTTTTTAATTTTTATATATTTTTCCACTTTGTATAAAAAAAAGTATTTTTAATTTGCTGAAAGTAAAATTTGTGGGATAATTATATACGCTCCATTTTCATGACTCTAGAAAAGAGAATTTTTTTTTTTTTGTTTTTTATCGTACTTTTTAATTTCACTATTTACAAAGTGCACGCGCTATATAAACGGTACGATTTATGAGACAGGAAATACACAGATGGAGATACATAAGATGCGAACTACTATAATTTTTTTTTTTTTTGTTTCATCGTTCATCAAGGAAAAATATAATTCTGATTTCAACAAACTTTGAGAATGGCAGTCCGATATTATGTACTTTAAAAGTTTTGAAAAAGTTTCTTTTCGTGAAGCTCATTTTTTTCCTTTTTTTTATATATATAGTGGAGTTCATGTTTTTCGAAATAGTGTTCAGACTATATTTTCATTTTTGAGGAACTGTCAGTTTTTGTTTCTCGAGTAGGTATTTATAAATTATTTAAAAATTCTGTATAGTACTTTATTTTTAGAAAGTATTTTTTTCAATTTATTTTTGAAATATTACAGAAAGAATTTAGAAAGAAATTATAGAAATATTTATTCGAAAAATATTTTTATTCTTGAATTACATTTTTTTACTGAATTTATTTACATAAGTACGAGAAATATTAGTTCAAAAAATATCACAAAAAAATTCATAAAATGAATTTTTTAAAAGTATTTTTAAAAAATTAAAAAAAATTTCAAAACTAAAATATAGGTAGGTAAAAAAGGGGACAATTTAAAATGTTTATTTTTTAAGCAGAAATTAAAAGTTAACAACGGTAATTAGTAAAATTTAACTATTGCAAACTTCGCACTCATCTACTAAAACCTACTATTTACTACTTTGTTTACAATTTGCTACTATTTCGATACTATTTACAGATTTCTGACACCAAAAGCTACTTTCTTCTTTTTTTCACAAATCCGCTAATAATTGAAATAAAGAAATTATTCTTAAAAATTTTAATAGAATTCTTAGACACACTTTAAACAATTTTAATTTCAATAAAATTCTTTTAAACGATTTAATTATTTTCAAAAATTTTAAGAAAATTTTTTTGGTAAGAATTCAATTATATGAAATATAATTTCTAAAAAAAAAATTGAAAGAAATCAATTATTTAAAATATTTGCATAAAATATTGTGGAAGAAATTAATTATTTTCTAAAATTTTGATAACATTTGTTTATAAGCAATAATTATTTTCATAAATAATTAAATTGATTCAATTCTTTGTAAAATACAGTTTTAACTATTGGAAGTAGGTAATTGAATTATTTTTTTTTATTTTCATAAATTTCTTTGAACAAATTCAAATATTTATAAGAATTTACTGAAATTCGTTGCAAGAATTCAATTCTTTGTAAACTACAGTTTTAATTATTGGAAATAGGTAATTGAATTATTTTTTTAAATTTTCATAAATTTCTTTAAAAGAATTCAAATATTTATAAGAATTTACTGAAATTTGTTGCAAGAATTCAATTATTTTCATAAATAATAAAATTCTTCACAGAAATTCAATTATTTAAAAAAAATTTTTTTTAATTATTTTTAAAAATTTTGATATAATATTATATAGAAATTCAATTTTAAGAAATAATGAATTATTCAATCCATTATTTATTTTTGTATTTAAATAATTGCATTTTCGTAGAATTTTTTAACAAGAATTTATTTAAAAATGAATTTCTCTTAAAATTTTTAAATTTACACTACTTTCAGTCCGCTAATAATTGAAATAAATAAATTATTCTCGAAAATTTTTATAAAATTCTTTGAAACGATTCAATTATTTTCCAAAATTTTAAGAATTTTTTTTG